TTCCTCCAGCCGCCCGCCCCACGACGGCAACCGCCGCCGAAACCGCCCGCGCCGCCGCCTTCTCCACGTCGCGCCTCCACTCCGCGCCCGCACCTCGCGCCCACGTCCCCGCCCTCTCCCCCGCATCTCCCGGCCCGCACGCGCGCCCGCAAATGGGCGGGAATCGATTTGAATCCCCCCCACTTTCTCTCTCTTTTCCCCCACGTCGCCGGCCAAATCGGGGGGTTTCCCGGCCATGTCCGCCCCTTTCGAGCCCCTATAAAGCTTCCCCGCATCTCCCTCTTCCTTTTCCCCTTTTCGCCGCGCTCTCCCGTGCCTCCTACCGGTCGCGCGCCGCTCGCCACTAGCGCCGCCGCCGCCGCCCGTCTCCGGCCGCGTGCCGTCGCCACTAGGGCCGCCGCCGCGCCAAGCCGCCACCGCCTCGCGTCGCCGGAACCCCACCGGAACCCTATCTCCCTCGCGAGCCGGTGAGCTATCCATTCCCCTCCGTCTCCGGCCAGCCATTTTGGTCGTCGCGGTCGCTTTCTCCATCCCTAACTCCTCTCCTCCCCTCCTCTAGGTGTCTCCACCGCTCGTCCGCCCCTCCTCTCGTCGGGTCGTCGTCGCCGCCTTCGTCTTCCGCTCCGGCCGCCGTGTCGCCGGTGAGTCCTCCCTCCCCCCCTCCTTTCCTCACCTTCCCGCGAGCGCCGGCCACGTCGCTGCTCCGGCCATGCGCCGCCGCCTTTCGGCCGTCGCCGCCGCTTCCCGCACCGCCGGTCACCGCCGTCGGTGGCCGTGCCTCGCCGCCGCCTCGCCTTGGTCAGCCGGTCGGCCTTGAGGCCGAGCCGAGCCCGGCCGGCGCCTCCCTCGCCTCCCCTTTGAGCCACCGCCTGGTGGGGCCCACCTGCCAGGCGCCACCTCCCTCCCTTTGGAGCCGCTGACTCATGGGCCCCACCTGTCGGCGCCGCCCCCCCCTTCGCTGACGTCAGCCCTGGGCTTTATTGCGCAATAAATTGATTAAGGACTTTTCTTTATTAGTAAAAACACAGTTTATCTTCTAAAATTCATAAGTAATTCATCCGAGCTCCGTTTAAGTCCATTCAAGTCTCAGTAAATCAAGAAAAATGCAAAGAATCCATTAAAAATGGTTTTGTTTCCTGTTTCTGTAGTCTTATAGCATGTTTTGCTTGTGTGCTTTGTTTGTCGCGTAGGTTTCGGCCGTTTCGTCGATCCGCAGTTTCTCGAAGACGTTGCTGAGGTCTCATCAGTTCGAGAGCAAGGCAAGTCATGCAATACGTTTGATCATATTGTACCCAATTTACAAATATCCCGCATTTCTATTAAATGTTGCATTCTTTTACAATGTAATGTGGGATGGGTCCTATTCCTCAGCCACATATTGGTTACCCTATGCCATTGATAACTTGGGTATCAAAATGACTAGATGTTGGCTTAGAAAATGCTTAGCCATGCTTAGTTCAACTAATACACAAATGGGGATCACTTTATTACATAGACTTTGTCTATTGGCATAGCTTTAGATTGGTGCCACCGCAATGGTGTTAGTTAATTAAAATACACTGAATGGTGGGCTGTGGGTGCATGGTTTTGCTGGTCGCACCCATGGCAGTTAAGGACCGGTTCACGGGAAACCCTGGGAGACTTACCGTGCTTACCACAAGCGGGAGTGGGTAACTGCTTGATCTGAAGTATAGCTCGACCCTTTCCTAGGCACCGGTGGTGAGGGTGGGCGTGATGGAGTTGGGTCGGCAGGGGTGTCCGGTTGTCCAGCTGCCGGATTCACCGCGGCGCAAGAGGGGACCGCCCACTGCCTTTTGAGGGGTGGGGGTGAAACCTTAGCGTGGTGTGGATGGTTAGGGGAGGGTTATGTGGAGGGTCTTGTCACGATTTCCCCCTTTGCAGTATCATGGTGATACTTCGGGGCATGGCGACATGTTTGGAATCGTGTCTTGTGGGTACAGTTGTACACCTCTGGCCAGAGTAAAACTATTCGAATAGCCGTGCCCGCGGTTATGGGCGATCAACCAGATTCACCGTGATTAGTCTCACCCCTAGTTTAGCTTAATGAACTGGTGTAGTTCAGGTGGTTGGTTGGGCCTGTTGCAACGTGGTGTAGCGTTGGACAGTGATTGGTTAATATTGATTAATTACTACAGCTGTTTTACTGCTTTCAACTACTGCTTTGAAATGCCTGCTTTATGCAAAAGAACCCCTAGCTTCCTTTGGTTATATCCTGCATCATACCTCCTCTTCCGGTATGACTTGCTGAGTACAGTGGGTAGTACTTAGTCTTGCTCTCTTTTCCCCCACACCAGAGTTGAAGTTCTTCTCAGTTGGAGATGTCTTGAAGAGGTGGGTTTCGTCGCTGCCGTCAAGGGTTGCCTGTGGAATGGAATCGCCCGCTGCAGGAGTCAAGTCTTCAGGCTTAGCTCGCTTTTACCTTTTCCGCTGCATTTGTAATCCTTTATGTTTTTGTAAGACGTGGATTTGTATGTCAACAATTGTCGTTTGTGTACCCTGGCTGGTCCTGGACAGGGGTTTAATACACATTCAGCTTAGAAATTATGGTTCGTGAATTTCTGGGCGTGACATGAGGCATGGGTGGCACTAGTACAGAAGAGCTTTTTTCATACGGGCGAAATGGATCTTTCCATGCGGCTAGCCTGCCCGCATGGAACAAAAGGTCTGTAAAAATCGCTATTTCTCCATGCGGGCAACACAACCGCATGCAAAAAGGGGATTTTCGCATGCGGTCCACATAGCCAACCGCATGCAAAGATATTTTTTAGCCAAAAAAAAAAAATCCAAAAACCCCCCGAAACACTAACCCGCCGCCCGCCGCCGGACGCCGCGTGACCGGCGCCAGATCCACGCTGCTGCGGCCGCCGGCCGTCGCGGCGCAGAGCCGTGCCCGCCGCCCTCGCCGCCTGCCACTGCTCGCCGTCGCCGTCGCCAAGCGTCGTGCTCCTCCGTAGGGCGGCGGATCCGGCCCTCCCGAGGACGATGCCGCCGCCGCTCGCCGCCGAGAGCCCCTAGGGCGGCGGATCCGCCGCCGTAGGCCGTTGTCGTGCCCGCCGCTTGCCGCCGAGACCCCCAAGGGCGACGGATCCGGCCTTCCCGAGGACGGCGCCGCCGGATCCTCCGCCGTAAGCCGTCGCCGTGCCCGCCGCTCCCCGCCGAGACCCCCTAGGGTGGCGGATCCGGCCTTCCCGAAGACGGCGCCGCCTGATCCGCCGCCGCTCCCGCCGTCTCGCCGTAGGGCGTCGCCACCGCGGCTCCTTGCTGCCGTCGCCCGCTCCCTCCTCGCGGCCGCCGCTACGCCTCCTTGCTTCCGCCGCTACTCCCGCCATCTCGCCATCGCCCGCTGCCTCCTTGATGTCGCCGCCCGCTCCTCCTAGCTGCCGCCGCCGCCGCTCCCACCGTCGCCCACCGCCTCCTGCCGCCGCCCAAGTGTGAGAGAGAGAGAGAGAGGACTTCACGGCGGTGAGGAGGGGGAGCGGCAGTGAGGAGGGATGGCAGTGGTGCCGCCGCCCGAGGGAGTCACCGACGACGGAGGGATGGCGGGGGAGTGAGAAAGTGAGAGAGATAGAGAGAGACGAGAGATGAGAGATCTACAGAGAGAGAGGAGATAATAAGTGAGGGGAGAGGAAGAGAAGATAAGGTTTGGTGTGAAATTTTTGAACTGGTAGAGAGGGAAGGAAGAGGGACCATTTTTACATGCGGGCCACTTAACCACCCGTATGCAAAAATTGATTTTTTGCATGTGGCTTTTTAGATTTCAAATCGATTTTTATGTCACTATATTAACTCATATGAAAAAGTTACCAAAAACAAAGTTGTAGAACTCATCAAGATCTACAACTTTTATTTTGACCATTTTTCTATATGACTTTGTTTGAATAGTTTCAAATTGAATTTCAAAATATGACAACTTCAAACAAAATTTTCAAATAATAAATGATTTCAAATAGAAATGTCATCAACAACAAAGTGGTATAACTTATCAAGATCTACAACTTTTGTATTGGTCATTTTTCTATATGACTTTGTTTCGACAGTTTGAATTTGAATTTAAAATTATGACAATTTCAAACAATATTTTCAAATACTAAATGATTTCAACTGAAAAAGTCATCAATCACAAAGTGGTATAACTCATCAATATCTATAACTTTTATTTTGGTCGTTTCTTCATACGATAAAGTTATGTGTAACATTGTTCACAAAATGTACATCTGTTATATAGTTTTATAAACTATAGAGAGAGATATGTAAATTTTGTGAAAATGTTACGATCACTTTGTCGGATGAAAAAATGACCAAAATAGAAGTTATAGATCTTGATGAGTTATACAACTTTGTTGTTGATGACTTTTTCAACTGAAATCGTTTATTGCTTCAAAATCGGCGACCAGCGGAACAGGGAGCGGAGGTCTATGCGTTTGGCGGCGAGGGCCCTCGTTGGTGGGCTTGGCAACGGCATACCAATTCCATCCCCTTTGGCATCGAGTCATTGTATGTCAGCCATGGTGCCTTGTAACAATGACCATGATAACGACGGTGGTGGCAACAACAATTGTAGTAACACCACCAGTACCGAGGAAGGCTTGTGGCGGCGACAGTGAAGTTCATATATTAACCTCATGTCTAGGAATCGAGAAAATGATCTTATATATTCTTGGAATAAGTTTGTTTAGAGATTTATTTGTAAAATAAGTTTTTTAAAATGGTCAAAGTACTTTTAAAAAATAAAAAAGGTATATGCTACAGTGCTACATGTCGGCTGCGCACGGCAGGGCATGTCCAACGCCGTGACAGCAGGCAGGCATTTGCCATCCGCACTGCATTTTTTTGAGCGAAAACCGCATTGCACATAGTCCGTGGATTCAGCTCATGCCGCTCATTCCATGTGCCAGATCATCCTAACCGGACATAATACAATATTTAGGTGACATGCAAGAAACGATAAGATACCTCCTTAAAAATTCATCTCTACTTTTCCCTTCTCTTATAGAAACGGCCCAACACAATTCGGGAGAATTTACTTTTTGCCATCCTCTAAAAATACCAGTTCTCAAATGCCACTCTCCCCAAATTTCATTTCCAAATACCACCTGCGTCCACATGTCAGCCGGTGATTATTTTGAAACTCGATGACAACATGAGGGGCCTCATGTGAACTTTTTCCTACAGAATCGAATGACAAGGGCCGGCCCAATTGGGCGGAATCCGAGCTAGTGCGGCGCCTCCGCCACCTCCTCCACAAACCCCGAGCCGGCGAGACGAGCACCTGCCGCCGCTGCCGCCCTCAACCGGCACTAGCAGAGCGCAGATGGGCATCGCCACATTGCCGCTCGCTGCCTTCGCGACAGGGACGAGTTCGGCTCCGACCTGAGGCCTCTGCATGCGCATGCGCTGCTTTGGCTCGCGCCATGGCTGCTCTTCTACTTGCGCACACGAGGTGTTCGTTGAAATGCTTGGGAAGTCATCGCTTGCTAATTACTCCAATCTGATACCCTTGTTTTCTATGTCCCAGGGGAGCACGTAACCAAAACATGGCGTTCTCCTAGTCTTCTCCCCCTGTTGATCGCCGGCGCCGTAGCCGTCGACGACGACGCTGGCCGCCCGCCGTGGACGTCGGTGAGCGCGCGGCGTGCAGCAACAGCAGCGCGTGCGACCGCCTCCGGCGAGGCGAGCATGTGGCCCCCACCCTTGGCCAACCTGTCAGCGAATTGAAAGTGCGGCCCCACCTGCCAACGACTAACTAGACGTGAGCATGACGTCATCGATCATCTGCGGGCCCACCTGTCGGCGAGCGGGAGAACCCCTTGAAATTGCGGCCGCCTTGGCGCCGCGAGCCCCAAAACCGCAACCGCCTCAACGAACGCCTCCTCCTTCCTCCGCCGCTCTCCCCTCGCCGGAGCGCCGAGAGACCAAGAGCGCCCCCGGCGCTGCCTCCGCCGCTCGCCGGAGCGGAGCCCGGAAGCAATGGAGCGGTTCCAGGACCGGCACCACGTGTGGCTGCGGAGCCGCGAGCACGGCCTGTACCTCCACGCCGACCTCGCCGACGGGAGCAGCGTCTACCTGCACCCGTACCGCGCGACCGCGCGCGCGGCGTGGGCGGTGCACGTGCTCCACCACTTCGACGGCCGCATGCTCATGCTCCACAGCGCCGCCAACGGGCGGTACCTGGCGGCCACGACCTCGCCGTGGGCGGCGACCGCGGCGCGGTTCGGCCTCGGCGGTGGCAACCGCGTCACCCTGCGCGACCTCGACCGGCTGCCGATGTTCGCCGCCGGCTGGTTTCCCATCGTGTCGGCATCCGGGGACGTCCTGCTGGGTCACGCTAGCGACCGATTCCTCCGAGCTATCGACAGAGGGGATGGCAATGGCGTCACCGTCGAGGTGTCCGACAGCCGCAGACCGAACACGCCCTGGGTGGTGGAGGCCATCCCCCCGATAGAATCCATACCTCGCCTTCCACATCTTGTGGTGAGCGCGTCATGCCCTGTTTTTTCGATCCTTTCTTAACTGATTGCATGAGTTGGGTTCTTTGGGGATCAATTGCTGATGCTTTCTTGAACCAGAGCTTGCAGATTGTGGCAAGTTGAGTTAGTTTTGCTCTTCTGGGCGCTATTATTTGGTTCTGATGTTGCGTTGTTTCTGCCTCTGTTGCTAATCGTGCGTCCTGAGTTGTTCATGGGAAAGTAATTCTTAGTAGCATTAGTAGCATTTGGGGGTCATGGTGTCAATTCTATTTCTGTATGATACATTCGTAGTGGGGAGCAGTTCTTGGTTCCATCAGGTTGCCATCTTGGTTCTTCAGTTCTTGCTTGTCCGCATTTGCTTCCTTCCAGGGTGCAGTTCTTGGGTCACAAATTCCATTTTCGGTTCCGTTTACTTAAATTTTCTGTCCGCTCTATGAATTTTCCTTTTCCAAGATTATTTCAGTACGGTTCTTGAAAATGGCAACACTACCTGATCACCATTGCCGTTCTTTCTTAATGTGTTCTTGGTCCTCGGTCACACAGTGTGTGATGAATTCTTGCAAATTGTAATGAATTCCTTTGTGCCATCTTCTTTGCTGCAGGGCATAGGACACATTGCACGGGCAATCCGGTTCGTGCGAGCAGAGCGGGCATCTACTGATGGGACCTTTCCCCATGTCGCCTGGGCTTGTTTCGAGTTCACCGGGAGGTCATTGTTCAATCTGAGGACGGAGCTGGCGCGTAGGTTGAACTTTGCAGTGGTCTCCGATGTCATTATGTGTGTTCGAGCGGGCTTGTTTGGACGGCTGACTCCTCTGATCACCGATCTGCCTCCCAACAATGTGACCATGGAGATCATCGTTGTCACGGCTGGGACGATTGGTGAGATTTCGTTTTTATGTACCTGTGTATTACTGGTTATCGCCTTCTCTTTTCATGACAGTTCTATAGATTACATGCTCGGTATTCCATAGTCTTGGTTAGTCATACTGTTGCTGCATTTTCCCTGACAACTTTTGTATTGACATCATCTAGTTAAGGAGAAACTACTGACTACTGTTACTGCTTTTAATAAAGTTCTATCACTTGTCATCAAGGAAACTGTGCACATGTATAGTAAGGAGAAACTTATCTGAATGTTCTTGTAGATAAGGAAAGAAAGAAGTTGAGTGAAAATAAGTAGTTATTAAGAGTTTGTCTTGTGGATTTTCAGTCTGTGTACAGATGCTAAATATGGACTGAAACTAGTCATGTGATCAGGAACAGCCATTTTTTAGTTGCATGCATAGTACATACTCATGCTCAATCTTGATATGGATAAGACTGGTTTTATGCATCCTCAGTTTGAATAACTCGGTTGCTTTTTTTTTCTTTATTTTGCCCTGGTATTAGTGTTGAGGGGTTTAATCCCAGATCATCTCAGTCAGCTCTTGTCATTATGAGAAATGGGGCCTTCGATTTAAGACATTCTTACATGCCTTGTGCCTACTCTAACCGTAAAAGAGTTCACTTGTACATTAGTACCATATCAAGATACAATGCAAACACTGTTTCCATTAAGAGCAATTTTACGGTCCTTAATGAGGTACCATGAAGTACCATTTTTTCTATTGTAAATTTGGTACCTCATGGTACCTAGGTACTATGAGGTACTAAAATTTACACTAAAATTTTAGTACCTCATGGTACCTCCTCAAGGACCGTAGAATTACTCTTCCATTAAATCATGCTTCCGGTTTCTGCTCACTATGCTGGTTTCTATGAGTTTTTCATTTTCTTCTTTAACAAAAGGGTGACCCAGATGTTTACATGATGTCTGAATTGAGCGGCTTGCGAGTTACAATATCTGTACCTAACTGCCTTATTATTTTGTCTGGTCCTTTTGCAAATTCAGATGCCAATGAGTTGAGATTCCCCAATGTTGGTGCAGTCTAGAGGAAGACAGAAGTGCAGGAGCAGAACATCTGACAGTCACTCCCCCATTCATCGTTTCAGAATTTTTTTGCTGGCTCAGACCGAATGACAGGAGAAATCAATGGAATAGGCTTCAGAAAGGAAACCACCATCTGTTCTGTTTCCCGGTTGTTAGCTATGGGATGCTCTGATGTCTTGAATGCCTGAACATCGCGTTCTGACATTTGCTGTACTTTCCATTGTCATCTGTATGATATGACTGATGATCCATACATTTGCAGATGTGAAATGTTGTGCTCAAGTCTGAATACACAGAGCTCATCTGTATGATATATAGTACTACATCTTTTGACATTTTTTGCTGTGATTCCTGTGTTATCATTGTGTTTGATTTCCCTTATGTCTACACCAAAAAGCAGTCAACATCTTATCCAGATAAATAGTGGTGGTTGGTTATAAAGATTTGCTGCAATGTTTCTGACTTTGGCAAATTATTTTAATTCCATTCACTTATATGTATTGTGCATAAGAGTAAATATAAGATCAAACCTAAGCAAAGTCAGTTTAGTACTTAAAGTCTTAAACTGCATGCGGCCGATCTGGAGTTTGTGTTCTGTTGCTGCCGATGCCTTTCCTCACAGGCGATGGCGGATGCGCGCGCCGCCGCCGCCGCCATCGCCGCCCGTCGCGGCGTTGGACAAAACCCGATCCGCCGTTGGGCGTCGGCACGTCGCAGAGCGCCGCTGTTGGGGCCTCCACTGCTTCTCTGCTGCCGCGGCGACAGGATGAGCTCTGTTCTTACTCGCACACGAGGTGTTCGTTGAAATGCTTCGGAGTCGGTTCGCTTGCTAATCAGGTTGCTTCTTGATGTCACAGGGAAAGCACACATATCGAGCATGGCATTCACGGGCGCGGTGGTCGTGGACGACGACGCCGGCCGCGCCGTGGTGAGCGCGTGCGTGGCGTGTGGTGCAGGTGCAGCAGCTAGCTCTCGTTGCTTCCGGCGAAACGGGCATGACGTCATCCAGCATGTGGGACCAGCGGGCCCACCTGTCAGAGGAGCCGGAACTGCGGCCCCACCTGTCAGCGAAGGGGGACAACTCCTTTAAATTGCGGCCGCCTTGGCGCTGACGCTGAGAGCCCCGAGCCGTAACAAACTCCTCTCCTCTCGCCGGAGAGCGCAAGAAACCAAGCGGCGCGCCGCCTCCGCCTCCGCCTCCGCTGCTCGCCGACCGGAGAGGCAAGACATCAAGAGCCCCGCCGCCGCCGCCTCTGCCGCTCGCCGGAGGGAGGCAATGGAGCAGTTCCACGACGGGCACCACGTGTGGCTGCGGAGCCGCGCCCAGGGCACGTACCTCCGCGCCGACGACGACGGGAGAGGCGTCTCCATGGGCCAGGGCCGCGCGTCCGTGCACGCGGCGTGGACGGTGCACACGCACCACCTCAACGCCGGCGACGTCGACATCCTCATGCTCCACAGCGCCGCGAACGGGCGGTACCTGGCGACGGGGCTCGGGTGGACGCGGCGGCGCCTCCTCAGCGGCAACCGCGCCAGCATCATCCTCCGCGATCTCGACCAGGAGGTGTTCCCCCCCGCCTGCTGGTTCGCTATCAGGTCGGGGTGGGGGGACGACGTCCTGCTGCGTCACTGCAGCTGGCGCTTCCTCCGAGCTGACGACAGGAAATGGAATTGGAATCGGAATGGCACCGGCGTCATCGCCGACATGATCGACGGCCGCCGCCTGGCGAGGTGGCAGTGGGTGGTGGAGGCCATCCCCCCGAGGAACTCCATACCTAGGCCTCCGAATCCTTCGGTGAGCACGTCATGCCCCTGTTTCCTTTCCTGATTCTTGCATAATCGATTGCGTTACTGGGTTCTTCAGGGCTAGGCTAATTCTTGATCTTTTCCTGTGATTGCTGGAATTTTCGTTACTGGGTTCTTGATCTTTTCTTGTGATTGCTGCGAAATTCTGTTAGTTCCGCCTCTATTGCTAATTTGCTAATCTCGTGTTCCCGGGAAAGTAGATCTTACTAGCATTTTAGCTCTAGGTGTCCATTCTCTATGTTGCATTCGTAAGGAGGGGGGGGGGGGGGGGTGGAGCAGTTCTTCGTTTCATCTGTCAGGTTGCCACCTATGTTCGGTTCTTGAAAATGGCGACATCCCCACTGCTGTTCTTTCTTACTAAGTTCTTGGTCCTCAGTTACTTCGTGTTTGTAACGATCTTCTTTGCTGCAGCCCTCATTCGGTTTCTTTGCGCGTCGCATCATTTTCCGGCGATTAACACATAATGATTTACAATGGGTTTGGATCTGGTTCACTGGGAGGTCTGCGCTCCATCTATGGAACCAGCTGTCGAGACGAATGGGCTTCGAACCAGACCCCAACTCCACTATGTGTGTTAGAGCAGGAACCTACGGACGGCTGACTCCTCTGGTGACCGATCTGCCTCGCAACAATGCGACAATGGTGATATTCGTTCTCCCACCTGAGTCATTAGGTGAGATATGTACCTGTGCAAGACTTGCTGTCGCCTTCTTGTTTTATGGCTATTGGCTAATGTTCTATAGATTACATGCTCATGGTATTCATTTAGTCTTGAATCTCTCGTGCGCATTGCAGTGCTCTAGATCAGTCGTACTGTTGCTGCATGTTTCATGAAAATTTCTGTGCTGATTTCTTTCTAATGAAATGCTATCAATAAAGTCCAATCCACTTGTCCTCAGGGAAAATTCCTATAGATAAGAAAATGGACTCAAGTAAGAATAAGTAGGTATTCAGAGTTTGGCATGTGGATTTTCAATCTGTGTACAGATGCTAAAATATGGCCTGAAGTTAATTTTATGGCTGGGAAGGTAGTAGTGTTGAGGGGTTTAAGCCCAGACCATCCCAAATCCCAATGAGATCTTTTCAGTCTAAGAAATAGTTGTTTTTTTTTAATTTAAGGCAATCTTGCATGTGTTGTGCATACTCTCACTGTAAAAAAGACAATAAGTTAATCTTGCATGCGTTTTGTATCATACAAATATACGATAGACAGCACTGCTGCCGTTAAATCATTACACCAGCTTCTGCTCATTATGCTGGTTTCTAGATGAGTTATCCGTTTTATTTTGCTGTTCATTTTCTTATTTCACAAAAAGGTGACCTCAGATGTTTTTAGATGGTTTCTGAATATTGAATGGCTTGTGAGCTGTAATATCTGTAATTAACTTGTCTCATCGTTTTGTTTGTCCCTTTGCAAATTCAGCTGGTTTGGGGTTGACGTGCCCCAATGTTCATGCCGCCTAGAGGAAGACAGAAGAACTACAGGAGCAGAACCCCTGACAGTCACTTGTTCATTCGTCCCTTCAGAAAATTACGCTGCTTCAGATCGAATGACAGAGAACTGAATGTCTTCTCTCTCTCTCTCTCTTTGGTATCAACTCTTCTGTTTCCCGGTCATTAGATATTACTGGCCATTGTGCTCTGAAGTTCACGAACTGCATTAAGCAACTAAGGAGAATGTGTACCTGGCAATTGTGTGTTCTGACATTTGCTGTAGTTTCTCCATCGTTATCTGTGATTCTGTATGACACGAGTGATGATCATCCATACATTTGCAGAAGTGAAATGTTATGCTCAAGTCTGAAATATAGATCAGGCAACTCTGCAAAAGCTGATCCTGTATTTTTCATGCAGAAGGGTTGTTTTATGTTTTCCCTTTTGTCTGTTGCAATGCATCCATCCACGTACTGAAACTTTTATCTGTTAATGATATCGGATTTGCACCTTGTTTGGTAGAAAATTGAGCCCTCCCAGACTCGAGTTATAGAGTCATCTGGGTGCAGGTTCCAAATTAATTACTAATTACCGCTGCAGTGTATTTCAGACTTGGGAGCTGCAGTATTTGTGCTTCCCTTCATGTCCCCAGTTTTCAGATAGGAGTATGAATTTACTGTTCTGATCAGTTTTCGCAGTCTTCTTTGCGATCATAGAGGATCACAGCATGAAACATTTTCTGTATCCCAGTCAGAAGTGAAATGTTATTCTCAAATCTGAATACATCAGGCAACTCTTTCAGATATATTGCTCTGTAGTTCCTGTGTGTTTGTATAGAAAGATTGTTTTGAACTTCTGATTTTCCCCTTTTTTTTCTACACCAAAAACGCAGTCAGATGAACAATTGGTGGTTGGTTATGGATATCAGCAGCTGCAGTGTTTCAGACTTTGGATCTTTGAGCAAAAACAATTTATTTTAATTCCATTCACTTAGATACAGTGCATTGTACATAAGAGTATAACATCAGAACTAAAAAAAAAAAATCAAATCAGTACTGTACTAAGTGATACTTAACCACATATAACGCGGCTCATCTGGTGTTGTGTCCCGTCGCCGCCGAATCACCGATGCCCCTTCCTCACCGGCGGTGCCACTCCAATCACCGGCAGAAGCGTAGTCGTCGACGGCGCGTGGAATGGGCCGAACCCACCGACTAGTGCAGTGCGGCAGCGCTCGCCGCGCCGGCGGCGGCCGTCGTGGCGGCGTTGGACACACCTGAGCAATGGCAACTGCCGCCGCCGCCGCGCTCATCGGCCTGTGGCCGCTTGCGCCGTCGGCTTGGGTTCCACACTGGTGTTCTCTGCCGCCGCGGCCGGCGACAGGACGGGTTCGGTTCCGAACGCCTCAGCACGGCTGCTACTCGCACACCAGGTGTTCGTTGAAATGCTTCGGAATCGTTCGCTTGCTAATCTGGTTGTTTTTTGTCACAGGGAAGCATGACAGCACGACGCGTGGCATTCCTAGTCTTCACCGACGACCGTGGCAACAGGCAGCAGCAGCTAGCTCTCGTTCTCCTCTGCTCGACGCCTCCGGCGTCGCGAGCATGACGCCATCGGCATTGTGGGCCCCATGGCCCACCTGTCAGAGAAGGGGGAGGGGAGGTGCAGGTGTGGGCCCACCTGTCAGCGAAGGGAGAGAACTCCTTCAAATTGCGGCCGCCTTGGCGCTGTGAGCCGTAACTGTCGCAACGAACTCCTCCCCTCCCTCCGCTCTCCCCTCGCCGGAAAACCAAGAAATCAAGAAAGCAAGAGAACCCTCGCCGCCTCCGCCGCTCGCCGGAGGCAATGGAGAAGTTCCACGACGGGCACCACGTGTGGCTGCGGAGCCGCGTCCACGGCACGTACCTCCGCGCCGGCGAGGACGGGAGCGGCGTCTCCCTGCACGAGGGCCGCGCGTCCGTGCACGCGGCGTGGGCGGTGCACATTCTCCACCTCGACGGCGGCGACATCCTCATGCTCCACAGCGCCGCGAACGGGCGGTACCTCGCGGCCCCCAGGACCGGGTGGTCGTGGAACAGCGTCGACCTGCGCGACCTCAACCAGCTCCCGTCGTTCACCGTCGGGTGGTTCGCCGTCACGGCGGGTTCCGGGGACTACGTCATGCTGCGTCACAGTAGTAGCGGGCTCTTCCTCCGAGCTGATGGCGGGAACCTCCTGTGCAATAGCGTCGGCGTCGTCGTCGACATGTTCGACTTCCGCCGCAGAGAGATCAGGCAGTGGGTGGTGGAGGCCATTCCCCCGAGAGATTCCATGCCTATCCTCCCCAATCCTTCGGTGAGCTTGTCATGCCCTGTTTCCTTTCCTGATGCTTGCAGAATTGATTGCATTACTGGGTTCTCCGGGGATCAATTCTTGTTCTTGATCTTTTCTTGTGTCTGATTGCTGCGAATTGTGTTAATTCCTTTCTCCTGGATGCGATTCTTTGCTCTGTTTTTGCCATAGTTCAAGGTGTCCATTCTCTATGGTGCGCATTCGTAGGTGGAGCAGTTCTCTATGTTCTTCAGTTCTTGGTTGCTCTGCATTTGCTTCGCTCCGTGGTGCAGTTCCTAGGACGGTTCTTGAGAATGGCGACATCATTATTGCTGTTCTTTCTTACTACTCGTATGTTCTTAGTCCTTAGTCACTTGTGCTTGCAATGACTTCTTGTATACTTTTGTTTTGAAACTTGACTTCTTATATGCCATCTAATTCTTTGCTGCAGCCCACAGCTTTCAGCTGGTGCCGCATCTGGTACGTGCGAGCATCTCCTCAAGGGAATTTCCGCCGAGAAGACTGGCGTTCGTTATTGTTCCATGGGAGGTCAGTGTTCCATCTAAGGAACAGGCTGGCGAGTCAGTTGCGCATCAGAGAGTCCTCTGACGCCATATTGTGTGTTCGAGCGGGCTCCACTGGACGGGTGACTCCTCTGGTTACTGATCTGCCTCGCAACACTTTGGTGATAGACATTGTCGTTATCACAGCCGGGACGAATGGTGAGATTTCCTTTTATAGTGATAGATTACATATTTACATGTTCATGGTACTTCTTAAGTCTTGAATCTCTCGTGCACATTGCACTGAGTTAGGCCAGTCATAATGCTGTTGCATGTTTCATGACAACTTTTGTATTGATTTCTTTCTAATGAACTGCTTTTAACATAGTTCTATCCACTTGTCGTCAAGGAAAATGTATACATGGTTTGTTGAGAGAAACTTATCTGAAAATTCTTGTAGATAAGAAAGGAGAAACAAGTGAAACTTCAGAGTTTGGATTGTGAATTTTCAGTCTGTGTACATATGCTAAGATTCAGAGTTCAGTGCCTTCGGGCATCCATCTGTAAATAACATAAAAAATAAAATGACTTGTTAGTTCAGTGATCTTTGTAAAGCTTCTTTGTTAATGAATTAGACAATCCTGAAGCTAGTTCAGTGATTCAGAACATGACTTGTTAGTTGCATACATATTCATGCTCCTTTTGTTATTTTGTCTTGTTAGTAGTGTTGATGGATTTAAAACCCAGATCATCTCAGTCAGCTCTTTCATGTCTAAGAAAAAGGGTTTTTGACTTTCAGACAACCTTACATGCATTGTGTATATTCACTGTAAAAAGGTTCAATTGTACAGTTGTTTCATACAAATATACAATAGACAACACTGTTGCTGACTTACAGTTAAATCATGACAACAGTTTATGCTCATTGTCCTGGTTTCTAGATGAGTTACCCCTTTTATTTTGCTGTTCATTCTCTTCTTTCTCAAAACGGTGACCCCAGATTTTTTTTCAACTGATCTCTGAATATTGAATGGCTTGTGAGTTGTAGTATCTGTAATTAACTTGTCTTTTTTTTTTTTTTGCTCCTTTGCAAAATTCAGCTGCCCTCTGGTTGAGGTACCCCAATGTTCATGCCGCCTAGAGGAAGGCAGAACTACAGGAGCAGAACCTCTGACAATCACTTCTTCATTAATCTCTTCAGAGTTATTCGCTGATTCAGATCGAATGACAGAGAAGTGGATGTCTTCAATTTTTTTTTGGTTGATTCAGGTTCAGAAAGGGAAACTGTCAAAAACCTTCTGTTTCCCGGTGGTTAATTAGCTATAGGCCATTATGCCCTGAAAGTTTACGAACTGCTGTAAGCAACTAAGTAGAATGTGTGCCTGACGAATTATGCGTTCTCACATTTGCTGTAGTTTTCCATGGTTTTCTCTATGATTCGATTGATCATCTTTTTGTAGAGTGCAATGTTATATTCAAGTCTGAATACATCAGCCAACTCGTTTTCATAACCTGTGAAAAAAAAAAGGTGATGGGCTAGACGTCCTGAGTTCGAAGCCTCACCCATTCTAATTATTTGATATTAGGTCATTCTCTGATATTCGTGTTTTTTTTTCATAACCTGTGAGTGATTCTTTGCTTCCATTTGCTAGCTGTTGGCCTAACGCTCTGAAGTTTACAAACTACTGAAATTTCTAACTACTAAATAGAATGTGCGCCTCAACAATTTTGCGTTCTGATATTTGCTGTAGTTAATTTCCATGGTTACTGTGTATGATAATTGATGCAACTGATCATCCACAAATTTCAGAAGTGAGATACTGAGATATATGCTCGATTCTTCAATTTTACATTAACTCGCATCAGGCATTGCCTGTCATCTAACCTGGAGTAGTAAATTTGACATCAAAACTAAAAAGAAAAAAAAATCAATTCCTTCAGTAATTGGTTACATGCGCGATTGAGGTTTCTTCGGCGGTGGGTGTTCCCAACTCCTTACCTTCGTTTTCCACGTGCACGTTTTTAAAACTGCTAAACTGTACGCGTTTTAAAAAAAAAATAGAAGAAAGTTGCTTTAAAAAATTATATTAATCCATTTTCAAGTTTTTTAAGCTAATATTTAATTAATGAGAACTTTTACGGTACAATATACTACTAGTATATACTGCCAATATAAATGATCTAACGGTGTAGATTGAATTACTTACCACTTACAGTATAAAATTAAAAAGGGCATATTTGTCTTTCTATTTTATTGCGCTGGGGCAATTCCGTTAATTCCAGCAGACAAGCACACTACTGGGTGTTCCTTGCAAGATCCAATAGTGATTCCCCATGCCCGTCATTCACCCCAGGCTAAGGCCGTCGTTCACCCAGGCAAAGGTGCACCGGTGTGAGGCTGTCAGATATTGATTAATTTCCTAGTTTGCATTGTTGATATGATGTTCATTGGATGTTTGGAAGATGTAGATTAAGCGTATTAATTAAAGGAATTAATGGTGATTAAGTACTACATGCGGCTACCCTGCTTAAGATTGCTGTATGTTGGTAGACGGTACAGCCCGAGCACCGGCCTCGGGTTGCCGGACCTAGCTCCGCCACTCCCTATACCATTGCCATCTTCAGATTAAAATGGCATAGAGTATTTGTAAGAACATGACCCCTCTTGCAGATTGCATGAACGAAGAAGAGGGTAAAGAGTAAATAACATACATCTGTAGACTGCACATGTATGCATTTTTATGCACAGATCAGGGCGTATGCTTGTAGAGTGCGCATGGTGTTTAATTCTACTCCGGCTCGGCAGAGGGCACTGCGTTGCCGGCTGGCTTGCCGCCAGTATGCGGGACTGCATGTGGCCATGCCACCACAGGGAGATGGCGGCTGTTCGCTTTGGCGGGAAGAGGGACACCGAGGAATTCCGCCGCCGACGAGGACGAATTGCGCCGCCGGTAGGGCTCATCTCTCCCTCTCACTCGCACGACGGCATCAACAGATAGGGATTGATCTGAAAAGCGAATTACTAAATTGCCCTTACATTTTTTTAGCATATTCCTATAATACCCTTGAAAATACTTGCAGTATATACTAACAGTATATTGTACTGTAAAAGTTCTCTTAATTAATTACTTGTTAATCTATCGCTCCGTTTTCTATATGGAGGGGAACACAAGTAGTGTTCGGTTGCTGCCGAACGCTGCCGACGTCTTCCTCATCGCCGGTGGCACTGCAATTCTCGCCGCCACCGACGTCGTCGTCGGCGTCGAGGTCCCTGCGTATCTGATCCAACGAGCGGCGGACCGCGGCGCATCCCTCCTCCCGGATGTCGCGGATAATCTCGTGGATCTCCTCGACGGGGTACGGCGAGTAGCCGGAGTCGACGATCTTGAGCAGCGAGTCGACGATGGTGTTCATGTAGCCGATCAGCTGCTTGGTCTCCTCTAGGCTCATGCATCTGGGCTCCGGATCATCTGCCAACTCGGACACCTGCACCGCCGACGACTCCCTCTCAGTCTCAGTCTCATCCATGGCGATTCTTGGCTCGTTCGGCGACAACGACGATGGCTGATACGGTGGTTCGATTGAGTCGATGAGATCGAGAATTTGAGACGGAGCGTTGGTCTGGTTATATTGGCACGCACGCAGGCCATGCACGATTCGTACATGGACTCCAAGTCCCAAAGGAAAAGGATTTGTATTGGCCGGTTCTAAAAAGAAAAGGACTCACGTGTTCGACAACCGAACCACGATCATGCAGTGGGTGGTGTTCATGGTCCACCGTACAGTACATATATGTATGAGAATCAGGGTTTAATCTGGCGGAAAACCGACAAATCCCGAAAAAATTTCGCGGACCAAAATTTGAATACAAATCCCTAAGCTTACTGATATGTTCACAAAAGCCGGTCAGCTTCGGCAAAATTCCAATAGAAACCATCAAAATTTCAATAGGAAACCAAAAGGTAAAACGTGCTGAAAACTGTCCGGTTTTATCGAAAAGCCGATAGGTATCTTCGAAAAACCGATAAGAAAACCAAGTTTGTTTTTTGTTAGAAAAATATAGAAAAAAATGTGATAATTGGGAAAAAAAATCGTGAAAACGTTATTTCCTATAAATTTGATAACCTCCCATCGACATACCCACGATATGTAATATATATTCATAAAAGACAGTTCATATCACTCACCAACCATCGGCCAAATAGAATGCCCATCACCAAATACATAACTCTGTGACCGATATATTGCAAGAATTAATATATTTCCAGTTGTTTTTCTTCCCTGAAGAAGCATGTCATACAAGCTGCTCCTTCAGAAGTTCACTATTCGCCGGGCTTCAGAAGTTCACTATGGGGTGCATTACTGACAATTCAAATTTGCCGCAGTTAATTTTGAAATTTGGATTTGGGTTATGAAATTTGGATCGTAGTTACATCATGTATTTTCTTGGACCTACTGAAAGTTGCTCTACTGCCAAAGTGCCAATGCTGGTTTGGGCCTCTCTCAGCGAAGCCTTCATTTGGGCGCAATTTTGCAAATCCCCCAACCAAGCCATTTCTACCGCCGGCCGTCGCGGCGTTGGACACACCGAACCCCCGAGCCGCCGCCACCGCCACCGCCGCCGCCACGCGAGGTCGGCACGTCGCAGAATGTATCTGGGACGTCGACCTGCGGCCGCTGCCTCTGTTGAGGCCTCTACTACAGCTGTTCGCCGTCGCCGCGACAGGACGAATTCTCATCTTCTTCCGCTCCGTTCTACTCGCGCATGAGGTGTTCGTTGAAATGCTTGGGAATCGTTCGCTTGCTAATCTGGTTGTTTTTTTTTTCTGTCACAGGGAAGCAGACAATCGAGTATGTGTATGGCTTTCCTTCTCCTCTACTTACCAGTAGTCGTGGACGACGAAACTGGCTTTTTCGCCGTGGCGCCATGGACCTTGGTGAGCGCGCCATGGTCGGGTGCAGCCGGCAGCTAGCTATCGTTGCTTCCGGCGCAACGAGCACATGACGTCATCGAGCATGTGGGCCCGGAGGCCCACCTGCCAGCGAACGCGGGGACTGCGGCCCCACCTGTCAGCGAAGGGGGACAACTCCTTTAAATTGCGGCCGCCTTGGCGCCTAGAATCCCGAGCCGTTACCGTCGCAACGACCTCCTCTCCTCCCTTCGCTCTCCCCTCGCCGGAGCTCCAAGAAACCAAGAGCGCCGCGCCGCGCCGCCTCTGCCGCTCGCCGATCGGAGCTCCAAGAAACCAGAGCCCCGCGCCTCCTCCGCCGCTCGCCCGAGTGGAGCGGCAAGAAGCCAAGAACCGCGCGTCGCCTCCGCCGCTCGCCGGAGGCAATGGAGCAGTTCCACGACGGGCACCACGTGTGGCTGCGGAGCCGCGCCAACGGCCTGTACCTCTGCGCCGACGACGACAGGAGCGGCGTCTCCCTGCAGCAGGACCGCGCGTCCGTGCACGCGGCGTGGGCGGTGCACATACTCCACTTCAACGGCGGCGACGTCCTCATGCTCCACAGCGCCGCGAACGGGCGGTACCTCGCGGCCTACAGGGCCGAGGGATCGTGGAACGTCGAGCGGCTCAACCTCAACCGGCTGCCGTCGCTCACCTTCAGCTGGTACGCTCTGGGGTCGAGATACGGGGACGACGTCCTGCTGCGTCACTTCAAGAGCATGTTCTTCCTCCGAGCTCTTTTCAGGAGGGATCGTATCAGCAATAGCGGCGCCGTCGGCCTTTGCGCGATGGACCGGGGCACCACGACCATGCAGTGGGTGGTGGAGGCCATACCCCCAAGAGAGTCCATACCTACCCTTCCAGATCCTTTGGTGAGCACGTCATGCCCTGTTTCCTTTGCTGATGCTTGCAGAATTGATTCTTGATCTTTTCTTGATCCTTCGGTGAGAGTCGATTGCATTACTGGGTCCTTCGGGGACCAATTCATGATCTGTTCTTGCGTCAGATTTCTGCAAATAGTGTTAGCTCCGTTCTTATCTGCAATTCTTGGCTCCATTCTTGCCATATTTCCTCCTCTGTTGCTGATTTGCTAATCGTACATCCTGCGTTCATGGGAAAGTAATTGTTAGTAGCATTTTAGCTCAAGGTATCCATTCTGTATGTTGGGAGCAGTTCTTGGTTCCATGTGTCATTTCTTCAGTTCTTGCCCCCTCTGCATTTGCTCTGCTCCAGTTCATGAAATTGGCGAGATCACAATTCCTGTTTTTTTTCCTTACTACTCATATGTTCTTAGTCCTTAGCCAGTGCTTGCAATGACTGGTGTGTTCTTTGCAGCCGCCCAGTTCTTTATCCGGTGTGTACCGCATCTGGTATGTGCGAGCAAATCCTGATGGGATTATCTCCCCAAACGACTGGAGGCTGTTCTTATTCTACGGTAGGTCAGTGCGCAATCTAAGTGCATTGCTGTCGATTGAGTTGGGCATCAGAAGGCCCTCCGACGCCATTTTGTGTGTTCGAGCGGGCTTCTTTGGACGGCTGACTCCTCTGGTTACTAATCTGCCTCACAACAATATGTTGTTGAACTTGGACATTGTCGTTATCACAGCCGGGACGAGTGGTGAGATATCCTTTTATAGTGATAGATTTACATATTTACATGTTCATTCCTTTTGTCTTGAATCTCTCGTGCACATTGCACTGCGCTACATCAGTCGTAATGCTGTTGCATGTTTCATGACAAATTCTGTACTGATTCCTTTCTAATGAACTGCACTAGATCAGTCATAATCTGGAAATTCTTGTACATAAGAAAAAGAAATCAGCTGAAAATAAGTAGCTATTCAGATTTGGATTGTGGATTTTCAGTCTTTGTACATATGCTAAAATACCTGAAGCTAGTTCAGTGCCTTCAGGCATCCCTGTAAAACTCCTCTTTTATTAATGAATTAGGCATCCTGAAGCTAGGTCATTGATTCAGAACAATGACTTGTTAGTTGCATACATATTCGTGCTCCTTTTGTTATTTTGTCTTGGTAGTAGTGTTAAGGGATTTAAGCCCAGACCATCTCAGTCAGCTCTTTTCAGTCTAAGAATAATGGTTTTTGATTTAAGACAACCTTAGATGCATTGTGTGTACTCTTTTTTGTTTTTGCTGGGCCGGCGGAAGAGAAGTCGTCTGATTTTTTGTTAAAGGATGACCCCAGATGTTTTTAGATGATATCTGAATAAGTGAATATTGAACGGTTTGTGAGTTGTAGTATCAGTATTAACTTATGTTATTGTTTCGTTTGGTCCTTTGCAAATTCAGCTGCTGATCGGTTGAGATACCCCAATGTTGATGCTGCCTAGAGGAAGACAGAACAACAGGAGCAAAACCTCTGACAAAGTGACAATCACTTCTTCATTAATCTCTTCAGAGCTTTTCGCTGCTTCAGATCGAATGACAGAGAACTGGATGTCTTCTTTTTTATGGTTGATATAGGTTCAGAAAGGGAAAGCGTCAAACCTTCTGTTTCACTGTTGTTCTGAAGGTTATGAACTGCTGTAAGCAACTAAGTAGAACGTGTGCCTGAACAATTGTGCGTTCTGACATTTGCTATAGTTTCCATGGAAGTGCATGATTCGATTGGTCATCGTTTTGCAGAGTGAAATGTTATGCTCAAGTATGAATGCATATTTCTCATGACCTTTTCCCTGTATTTTCGTACATATGTACTGCTTTGTGTATGGCAATGTATTCATGTGCCAAAAGAACAAGGCTTAATTTTCTTGGCTTTGCATTTTGGTAGAGAATTGAGCCTCAAATTTCAGAGCCATTTGGGTGCAGGTTTTCAATTTCAGATTTAGAGTAGGCTTACTGAATACCTTACTTTTGCGTAGGTATATGTTCTGAAAAAACGGAGCAACTCTTGTGTTTCCTGGTTGTTAGCTTCAATGCAGACATCAAATCATCTGTTTGTTATCCCTGGTGCTGTTTCTCCCTGACAAGAAGCTGTGTATGTTTTGGCCTTTATGTTATGAAACTTTCAGACTGCTGAGTGCTGACAGCATTAGGTACTAGAACATATGCCTGAACAATTGTGTAGTGGTATTGGTTATAATTTTCACCTTCGTCTCTGTGACTGATAGCAAGAACATATGGCTGCTTGACAAATAAATTCCGCAGTCAATTTTTCGAAGTTGGATTTGAATTGTAGAATGTGGATCGTAGTTAACATCATGTATACCAAAAGCTCAGCACAGAGATATCATCCTGTGTATTTGTTGTCGTTCTAGCTACAGTAGTAACAATGAGTATTTTGTCCTTCAACCTGTTGAAGTTGTTTTCAGTTGTTCACAAATAGGCCATATACATTTGTTGAGAAAAAATATCATCCGAGGGCGTTTGGTCTAGTGGTATGATTCTCGCTTTGGGTGCGAGAGGTCGCGAGTTCGATTCTCGCAACGCCCCTATTTTACTTTCTTTTTCATAATTTCATTTAGTGCTGACTTTGTTGCAACTTTGAACTTTCATCATGTAGAATTTTCCTGAATCCTGATGTCTACTCACAAATTATCTTACGAGCCAGTCTTTGAAATTCATTTGGATTTGAATTTTACGCAATTTTATACTGAATCACTTCCTACTTTCATTTAGTGCTGACTTGTTGCAACTTTGAACTACTTTCATCGTATAGCATTTTCCTGATGTCTACTCACAAATTATCTTATTACCGTATTACGAGTCAGTCTTTGAAATTCATCTGGATTTGAATTTTACGCAATTTTATACTGAACCACGGAATCAGTTCATCTTTTTTTAGCATTGAAAAAGTTCAGGCCTCTCAAGCTTGGACTGCCACTTGCTCCACCCAACGCGCGAGTCTGTGTGCCGCCGCCGCCGCCGCCGCTCCGATGGAAACCGCCGCGGCGGCGCCGCCGCGCGTGCAGGCCCTAGCCGACGCCGGCGTCTCCTTCCTCCCGGCGCAGTACGTCCAGCCGCCGGAACTCCGCCCGGACCCCACCACCACCACCCACCGCCGCGCCCCGACCGCCGCCTCCCTCTCCGTCCCCGTCGTCGACCTCTCATCGCCCGGTGCGGGCGACGCCGTCCGCCGCGCGTGCGCCGAGTGGGGCGCCTTCCACGTGGTCGGCCACGGCGTCCGGCCGGGGCTGCTCGACGCGATGCGTGGGGCGGGGCTCGCCTTCTTCCGCTCCCCCATGGAGGAGAAGCTCCGGTTCGCCTGCGACCAGGCCAGGGGCGCCGCCGCCGAGGGGTACGGCAGCCGGATGCTCGCCAACGACGACTCCGTGCTTGACTGGCGCGACTACTTCGACCACCACACCCTCCCGGATTCCCGCCGCGATCCCACCCGGTGGCCCGATTTCGTCCCCGGCTACAGGTGATTGCTTGATCAGTTCATGCCTTGAATAATTGCAACTGGTACAGATTTTTGCATGCTTGAAATCATTGAGAAAAATGAGAGTCAATGTTCAGATATGATAACAAATAGAAAGTGGGCAAGGAAAATTTGGTATCCTACATTTTGGGTTGCCTACTTGCCTCTGTTGTTGATTCGGGGTTCATGTTCACCGTGGAGGAATATTATGTCATGCAGATGATATGATTATGAGACTTAATTTTGTACTTTCATTTGAAGCCTGATAGTTCTGCGCGTGTTTGAAGGATTTTTCGGAATGCTGTTTGCTGTTGCATTGGCATCATTGCATCATTTCTGTGTGTAGTCATTGCATTGAGAAAAGAATGACTCAAAAACATCTAGTGTCATTGACTCATTGTACAGTGGACATATCCATGGACCATCACATATTCGCATGAGCTGCGGCTTTAACAGATAAGCTAATAACTTAATGTTCGCAGGGACACTGTTGTGAAATACAGCGACAGCATGAAAGATCTCGCTCAAAAATTGCTGCGCATTGTCTCTGAAAGTCTGAACTTGCCACCTTCGTATATAGAAGAAGCAGTGGGGGAAGTTTATCAGAATATTACTGTTAGCTACTATTCTCCTTGCCCACAACCTGATCTTGCTCTTGGATTGCAATCTCATTCTGATATGGGTGCAATAACACTTCTAATACAAGATGATGTGGGTGGGCTTGAAGTACTGAAGGACGGGCTGTGGATACCTGTTCCTTCTTTGCCTGATGGAATCCTTGTAATTTTGGCTGACCAGACAGAGGTAATATTCCTTCACATGCTTTAATATATGCTATACCTTCTAATGCTATCTAATGTGTAATCAATATGCTCCAAACTACCAAAATACATTTTGCTACTCCAGATGATTTTATTCAAGTATTATTTTTATGGTACAAATTATCTGTTAGGTAATTTTTGACTCTTTAAGTAGTATTAATCTGGCATTTGCAATTCATTTTAGTTTCATTGCGAACTTAAGATAAGAATATGGTCCTGTGATACTTGTTCTTGCTACTCATCCTGCTTGTATTGTTTCGAATAGCTTGTTTACTGTTGTATTCCGAGTAGCTGCTACCAATGCGTTCTTTCCATATAATTTGGCTCCTGCAATCCAAATGCTACTAATGTTTGCCTTTCTCTAGATCATAACCAATGGAAGATACAAGAGTGCTGTGCATCGAGCTATTGTCAATGCTGATCGTGCCCGCTTGTCAGTAGCAACATTCTACGATCCATCCAAATCTCGAAAAATTTGTACTGCTCCACAGCTCGTTTGCAAGGAGCATCCACAGAAGTACCGGGATGTGATATATGGTGACTATGTCTCATCTTGGTATAGCAAAGGCCCAGAGGGCAAGCGCAACATTGATGCCCTCCTGATCGAGCAATAGAACCAGAGGCAGCATTATATAGACAGAATAGAGACATTCATGCGTGTTGTGATGCTGTCCAAGATTGCCGATCTTGATTAATAAAGAGAATAACATTGTACCATATGAATGGTTCCTGGTTTTTGAAGTTTCTATGATTCTTATCAATACTTCCCTTGAAGCAAAGCTCACAATTGTGATTTCTGACCAACTGACCATCATATTACAACATGACATGAACATAGGAAAGAGGAAAAGATACTGATTCTTAACATCTATTTCTTGCTAATATGATCATGCTGTGGAGTAATTCCCAGCTTCCTGGAGCCTCACCTCCAGTAGCTAAGTTTGTGGTAGTGGGAGTATTGCACTGGTAGCTGGTCAGCTGGCGGTAGTATGTTTCTTCTTGGGATCAGTGCCATTATGCTGCAGCCTCTCAGGACTCTGGAATCACCAGTCACCAACAGCATCAAGCTCCTAAGTTCATCGCTGAGGTAGTACTGCACTCATGCTTATTTCTAATAATGTAAATACTTCTTACACTTCATTGATGTGTTGTTATAAGTTCTATAGCATATACGATCACTTGTAGAAAAAATTTCCATGAAACCCATATGGAACTCTTTGAGGTAAAGTGATTTTCAATACCGGTTCTTCTGCAAATCTCTTTGCATCAATAATGTAAACCTACAAAAATGATGTTCAATAATTAAGGATATGCATGGAAAACAGGGTGAAGTCATGTCATGTGCTTCCTTTACCAGTAAATCATCTAATGAGGTTTAAATACCTGAGACACATTAGTTAATTCATCATGGACATATGTTATTATCCATCCATCATCTTCATCTATTCCATTTTCCTTTGCAACAAACTGAACTCCAGAGCAGAAGGTTTTCTCTTTTAAAACGTGGTACTCCACTGATTTCAGTTGTTTGTTTTCCTGCGGTTGTTCTGAAACTTCAGTCCAAGTAAAGTCATAGACAAAAAACAGTTGATACTTGTGCAGTATTTTCTGACCTTATCTTGCCTGTCGAAGTGTACCTTTGCTATCCTATTATACTTGAATAAACCTGCAGCATTACACACAATCGTACATATTCAGTATATGAAGATTGCATGAGTAACTTAAAATGAACAAGCACATACTGTAACAAGACATGACATAAGCAATTAAACTGTCGAGAACAATTATATATATAAGTCTCTTTTAGTCTTTCTGCAACTTCACTGGTAGGCAATTACCTATTTCACTGGTTGCTACTGAGTCAACAACCTGTGCATATCCGTAGTTGTTTTTGACCCCAACAAAGTCTTCATTGATAACAGGAAAATCCATTGCAACTTTCTCATCTGTAAGATAACCTTCTTTTGTAGTTCCGCTTTTCAAGTTTAGCCTCCATTCATATGGACGAGAAAAGAGAGTGCCATCTACTGATGGATCAAAACCTTCTGAATTCTTATCTGGCTGGAGAAATGCTCTTCCAGAACATTTTGACTTGTCGTCATCATGACTTGCACTAGAGAGTACCGAATCAAGTGTTCGACAACCTCTGATAACAACCTGTTTACAGGCTTTTGCCAATGAGTATAAATAGACGGAAAAAAGCATCGCTAATCTATATTTTCTATGAGATTATCCTCATGTATGTGACATAAACCCTTTTATGTTGGGAAAATTAGAATGTTTGAACCACAAGAATTACACGGAAAAATTGTTCTATTAGATTGATTTTCTGATTTTGTTTCTGTACTCTAAATGCATCTATGGTAAATTAATGATTACATAACTAGGTCCATCTGAAGTTTCTATAAGCGTAATATCGATAGGATTTTTGGATCTCGTGTGATAATTTAATACATGAATACTGATTTTGTAAAGGTTCTAGCGAAAATACTGGAAAAATAGCCAAATAGGCAGTCCATAGCTAAGTAAAGCTAGGTAGTTAGCATGTTGCACACTACAATTTTGATTCATAAGGCAAAACTACAGCAGAATATAAAGCTTTTTCTGGATAACAGCTAATCATATCTATATATTTCTCTGGACAAAAATAATAAGACCATCAATTGAAATAGCAGAAAGATTAATCCAGAATGTGTATTATAGTTGCCTACAGATTTTTTTAAAAAACGATTTCAGTATGGTGAACATATATACAAGTGCAGCTACATGCCTCATGCACCAGATCCACTCATCCCACCTCTAGTATGAAATTATCAGTAGTGTTATAAAAAAAAAGAAGCAATGTCTGTTCTGAACCTCCAATGACCATTAAAGCTGTTTCATGATCCTTAATTTTATCTTTTGTTAAAATTGAACAATCACCTCATTTCCATCCTCAAAGCAATTAAATAAATGGTAACTGCAATGATTCTCCACATCAAACCAGATGATGGAATCAGCATCACCAAACCTAGGCATCACTCCAATGCGTGATATCCCGCCCATATCATTTTGGATGAATCTGAAGAGAAACATAACCACATTATTATGGATTATTAAGTCAGTATGCATATTTCCCACAGAAGTGGTTGTCATAGTAAAGATGGTGTATATGTATGGGACCCACGGTTTGCGTAAAATTGTCCTTATTAAGCCGAAGTGGAGAGGATAGTCCATTATAATATTGTACCTACAATATAATAATTAGTAGTTACAAGAAAACGTATTGTTGACAGCAATATAAGATCTCATAAATAAAAGCTAGCATACTGTGCAGTTACTCCGATGTCATGAATGAGTTTTCCTTCCTCGAATTTGAGATCGACCTTGTGAAGAAGCCTCTCACCATCAGCTAGTTCATGTGAAAGAACATCACTTAATAATATTGTAATAAAATCTAAAAGATCATTTTTGCCCACAATAATAGCAAGCAAGACACGTGTGTGGTTGAGAAATTTATATTGGTTCTTTTGATACAATGTTTGTTGATATTTCTAATCTTATCTAGCTGTCTTTTTTTTTCATGTAACTATTGCCAGTTACTATAGTAATATTGTGTTCCGTTTACACTTTATTTTTATTACTTATATGCCACTCGATAATTTGCAAAACCCCAGCCTGGACAGGCGCTATCAAACAAGGTTCAACATGGTGGATCTGAGTGCATGTGCTAGTTAAAAATACGAGTTGCATATAACAAATGCTACAAAAGGTTGGTGTAATATACTCTCCCTGACCCAAAATGTAAGGGATTTTGGGATAGAGGGGGTAGCCCATTTTCATGTATTGTTTTACACTTGTCTAGTGATTGCATTTATGTTCCACCAAATCACAACTTACAGGAAATTACTCCAAGCACATAGTGGGGTTTTTCAATATTAGTTCCCATCGTCACGAGTTCTCCACTTCCACAAATCTTCTGTAAATAAAATCATATGCATGTAAGCCCTTGCTATAGATGAATGATGCTGCTCACAACAGAACATTATGAACAATTTGAGTAACTTTAGTTGGCATTAAAAATATTCCAAGAACATTATGTGTTTGAACTTTGAGTTGATGATCCATGCTTCAGTAATCATTCACCATGTGAATTTGTGAAGTTAAGAAATGGTGGCTGATGGATTAATTGATGAAAGATCTCTACTGAAAATTATTGAATAATAATATTAATATATCACTGGCCTTGCCTACTGTTCATACTAAAACATCAAACACACATTTAAAGAAATAATGAGCAAGCTGTAATTGCATAATAGAATACCTTTGGGTGGCTAGTGAAAGGTTGGTCCCAAGCTCCATTAATGTTGTAAGGTCCTAGGGTGCGGAGATTATTGATGTCAATTTCGTAAGGTAGATGATTTTCTGTGGCAGCAAAAGCTCGTCCAGCATGCTGAAATATGGAAGTATTTGCACTGTCCTTCACAGGCTTTCCAAATCTCACCTATAAATATCACCGAAGATGATATGTAGTGTTAACCATCCTCAAGACCAAGTTTAAACAAAAAAATCATGTGCATCTGACAATTATATAGCTACTCAAATTCCATGAGAAAATGATTCAACAGCGGCATTCAGCTTTTTCCACTGGAGAAACAACTAATTTGTTGAGTTTCAGATATTATGTAAATCTATTCCACTGGAGAACAGTGGAATTTTTACATCTTTCTCATGTCGATTCTTCTTGTATTGAAATAAGAATATTTTTTTACTATGCAGAAAAAGACTGTTTCTTATTTATTTGGGTATGTATATTGGACTGCCTTTTCTTATGCAATGCTTATGTCACATCCAGTAGTTAATCTGTTCTAGATATTGATTTAACCTGCACATCATATTTTCGCCGTGCATCTGCACATCATATTAGAGCTCAATTATCCTATCCACCTAGTGTTTACACTTGATCTAATACTAAACTATTTAAAATTAGGAAGACTTACGGTATTAAGAAGAAAAGCAACCAGTGTTGCACATGGCTCGCCTTCAGCAGATGGAAGGAAAGCTATTTTGTTCTTCTTTCTCTCTAATTCAAAAGTGTCTGTGTCCACATATTTGTTCTTGTACGAAATCCTCCATTCTCCTAAATTGCTCTTGCTAAGGTAGATAGCATGCAACATTCCATGTCCTTCATAATACATGTATGATGTTGGGCCAAAGATGGACTCTGCAGCTGTCTGTGATGCATTAAGAGGGTTTGGACCTGTTCAAATAGATCAATGTTACACGTGCATAGAAGTTTAGCATAAATCTGATTCATTATTAACTTTTTTTGGTTGGAAAGATGTATATAAGCTTGTGAGCCTGGAAGTATCAGAACTCACCATTTCTTATATAGACACCCTCAGGAAAATCTTTTGGAACCTCTCCATTGAGATCGTCAATGAAAACCTCATCACCAATTTCGTTTACAGGTCCAAAATTCCCCTGTAGAAGACTCAGATGAAAATTATGCCAAATTGATGAGTCAGATAAATTGGATACTACAAAGGAGATGGAAAAAAAAAGTTGCTCGTCGACTTCACAAATTTGATGCTGAACAATGTCATGTTTGCAAATTATATAGTAGCACATGCATACATTAACAATCTTTATATTTACCTCATTCAGATAAGGCTGCTCAGAAAACTTGTACACGGAGTCGATGAATCGGTCCAGCAGATCTGAAGAGACTGATTTCAGAGCTTTTGTCAATTCCTGCATCAGTGGCTGCTTATTCCACCCAGTAACTGAAGATTGCACCTGAAGGATGGTACATTTTGAGGTAACCTATCCCTTCTTATATTGCACAAAATATTGACTTAAGAAAAACAAACGCAGAGATCTGAAGGTCCTATTGAGGTAGATGTAGCTTTATCTCAACTGAAGAACACAAATTTGTTACAACACATTGAAAAGTTTCTTTGTTTTTTTTCTTGGGAGAACTTACAACACGTTTCAAAGTTAGTACTTGAACTGCTTGCTGGATACATGTAGGCAGGCATGTTCCATCCATTGGTTTGTCTGGAGACATCAAGTTAATAAATCATTATTATTTCCAGATTAGTTACCTTGACGGCATTAGGTGGAGACAATGAGGAAGCTTGATCAGCTGGGCTCTTCCCTAGATGAATGCATCTAGTGACCTGGGAGCTGCACCCTCCAGCTCTGAACATGGCTTGCTCAGGTTATTCGATCCTCTCTTGTCAGTTGTAAACTGTTACTGGATGTTATGCCTGCTAGTTCGAGCTTGTTGCATTATAAAGTGGAGGAGCAGTAAGCCAGTAAGGCATGCAAGAACACAGACAAATATGGTTTATCCCTTGCTATGCATCGGCCATGGGGAGGAATAAAATGGTCTGATTGGTTCAGACTAGCTTAAGAGCAAACACTACAGTAGATAAGGAGCATATTCTTGATGGTCTGTGGGTGCAATAAGACAGGGTTAATTAATCAAGAACAAGTTGATTAATATATGGTCGCAGAAATCAGTCTGGAATCAGCTCAACAAGGGATGCAAGTGCAACTAGGACTGATTTAGTCATGTAGTGATGTAGATCGTGATTTGTGACCTGCGACCTTTGTGATTGATTTGCTGCTGGGTTGGCAGCTCTGTCCGTGCTATGAGCTCGTGAATGGAAGGAACACCAGTGGCGAATCACAATGACGCTCATCAGGTCAATGTCTTTTTTTGATGTAAAATCAGGACATGTTAATCACGATGATGCTCATCAGGTCCATTTCTTTTTTAAAAAGTAAAATCTGGACAAGTTAATCACCACACCGCTCATTAGGTCAATTTCTTTTTTTAAAGTAAAATCAGGACAAGTTGTACCACATGGAATTTCATTACGGAAGTAGTTCAAATTAGGCTGGCTTTTTTGTTGTCTAATCACTCTTGTTGATATGTACTCCTTCCGTATTTAAACATGTCATTGTTGATTTTATTAGTTTGTGGAAATATAAAAATCGTATGGGTCCATTTTTCCTTATAATTTTGTTAGATACTATCGTTATATTTAAATACGAAGGTAGTGGCATAATTGCAGTGTAAACCCCCCAAAAAACTGAAGAGATGCAGGTTTTTTGTACTTAGCATTCGCAAATACAGTAAGAGTTTGGTTTTGTTCGTACATACATGCACGTATATACAAGTTCACAAGAACAGCAGTCAAATGTGGACCATGCGCAATGGACGATGGGTTCCAACTTCCAAATCTTAGTCGGGCCGTTGCTTCACCATGTGGGCTAAAGATGCCACGCGACCAAAGCCCACCACCACAAGTGGACCAAAAGCCCACATAAACCGAGGGTAATTGGACCGACCCAACCTGGGCTTCCCACATGGGCTTAAACTTATTCGCGCCTTCTCCTTACCAGGCAGCCCATCAGAATAGGCCAGCCGCGTACATTCCCAATGCTCAGAGAGATGGACTATTATTACGCATCATCAAAATGTTAAACGACCACTTTCAAAAGAAAAAAAAAAGAGCATTGTACTTGTACGAACACATATACCTTCGTTGCAATCACAAATTCGCAATCAAAAGATCCAAGTTCATCACATGGCCAACTGCGCGAGAGATGACACAACACGGCTGAACCGCTAAAAAACCGCTACGAAAATGTTTTAGGATCATCTGTGCATTCTTCTCTGTTTAAGGTTGGTAACAGAGCATGCAGTGCTACCTTCGTCTCGGGCTCGTGGCACGAACCGCCAAAAATCGACGGCGATATCAACCTCGTTTTGTTTGTGAAACTTGTATGTCCGTGGTAGGTTGTAGCGGAGCTGGAACAGAGGGAAATACAGATTATCATAGCAGGAACAAAACTGGAAACAGAAAACATATGTTTTGACCCGTAAAGCCTTAAATGTAGAATAAACTCATCTAGAAACCAATCAACTTTTTGCCGGATTTCAAGCAAAACTAGAATTGCTAGTCAAGTGTTATATCCCGGTATTTCAAATAATATAAAGAAAACAGGTGCAAAAATGGTTTAAAAAATCATAGGTAGCTCAATATCGCATTTCACCATTCTATTTGCCCAGATTTCCTACAGCTAGCAGGCACTGAATACATTTGGTCCTCCAAACTTTACTCATACCCAAATGTCTGATTCAGTCTAAATGGAAGCAAGAAAACAAAAAAAAAATTAACAGGATAATTTATTTACTACTTCCCCATTGAAATACTGAACAACATTTTTAGGGGGTAGATGCACAATACAAAATGATAAGCGCCTAGCATCTATTTAGTTACCTCACATAGAACCTCGGCACTTATGGCATTGCAGTTGCGCAAGGCTACCTTCTTGATGTGCTAAAGATCAGACACAAAAAAGGTGGACAAAAAATCAATTAATAAAACTTCCATGCTAACTACAAGATGGAACATTGATAAATATGGTTACTTCTTGTTGGAAATACACTGTTGCAAATAGAGAAGGGAATAATCAAACATTTATCATCAGAATCTAATAAAATAAAAGAGAGATTGTTTCTGACATTTGTAATCCCCTTGAGGAACACTTACTTCTCTGGTAGAAGTCTTGTGTAGCGAATAGACAGCTCGAGTGGCAACCTGCAAATAGCAATAGATATTAAAAATTTTAAACATCATGCAATAATCTCAGTCATGTGTATGATGGCAACTGCTGCCCAGTGCCCTCACCTTCATGCCCATAGAAATGAATTCCATGTCAGCTCCTTTTCTGCTTGTCCCAAAGGGAGGATTCATGACAACAGTGTCAACAAGAAGGCCTACTTCAACAGGTAGCTAAAAGATCAGGGAAGCTTTTCAATGTTGAAAGCATCTACGCTTATGTGTATAAATATATGATTTTGTTTCAATAACCATTCACATTTTTTTTGTGACACTATATTATCTTTCTTGACCTGAACAATGGTGCACAGGCTATTGAAGTACTGGAGAGAAAGTAAATAGCTGACTCGTATAGTAGCATCAGCTAGGATACTACTCTGGATATCTTCTCTAGGTGCTATCTACTTATGTATGAAATAACAAATAAATAACATGCAACAGAAAAAAACAGTGTGAAAAAAAAACTATGAGAAGATCAGAAGCAATAGGTTATATAGAAAAATAATTAAAAAAAAAACTGAACTAAAGGTGCACTTAAACTAGGTAGAGTATGTCATCATTTAAGGACAATACCTCTCAAATTTAAATTCTTTATATCACACTGAATTAAGTCGATATCCAGCTGCACATCAAACATTTAACAAAAGAAACATGTCATTCACATAGTCAAGTATTGTTACTGATCCTAGAAATAACTATCCCTGTGTCCAAAAATATAGCTGTTTATGGCTACTATATTTTGGGACAGAGGGAGTGATACATTAAATCTGAGTCTCTGCTTTCAGCCCTACTTTGCCAACATTTGCTTAGCCATGCAAATTTGACCACTAATACTAAAGAACATGAATAGAGACAGAGACAGTAAAACCTATATTTAAAAGGATAATCTAGACAGATTAGTAGATCAATTGAACAGAACAAAATTATTGCATCTTTACAAAAGAAGGGAAGCATACTAAGCCATTTATGAAATTTCTATGATGCATTGATAAAAATAATCCATGGCAGTAGTACATATAAAGAAATGCAAACTGCAATATTTGAATATAAAAAACATCTCAGATGTGGAGAACTGAAAACAAAAATCAACACCTGTAGTGCATTTCAGTAGTTGCAGAAAGCTGATTTAAGCATACAACTTTCCACAATGCTATTTGGCAGGAAGACGCCATTAACAATTTGCACTACATACAGATGAGAACTATCAGAAAATTATGACTACAATAACATGCATAGTTTGGTGGTGATGCAAGGAGGATGCTGGAAAAAGGTGAAAACGAGAGGGTACATAGACAATGTGAAGATTTTTCAACTTCAGGCTAAACCAATGGTTATATTCGGAACCAAAAAAATGCTATACCTCTAGATCTGCAGCATTTTCTTGAGCAAGTTCAAGGGATTGCGGGTCAATATCAATTCCAACAACATGCCTGTGATTTCACAACCAAAGGGACATAAGATTAGAAATTGTAACTGAACAAATAACAACAAAAGGCATAAAGATACTGAGTGATGAACCTCATTTTCTTGTTTCTAATACTAATCGACGAGCACTTAAGTTCTGTAACTAATGTGGTGAGCAAGTGGCTAGGTGAACTAATGTGGTGATTTACTGTCCACTAAGTTCTGTAACTGATGGTATATCAACACACAAGCATCATGGACAGATATACTTATTAGGTAAAGCTTAAACAAGGGTAAAACATATCCAGACAGCACAATCAGTCACCATACAGTTCTCCATTTTAGATACAACCATTCTCCATTTTAGGTCAGTGAGTGTTAATATGCGACAATGTCACATGATGTTCAGTCGAATTGAATATAAAAGGGCAACACCTTTGCACAGTTAACAAATGATATCTTTACAAATATCAACACAGAAGAAACCAGTTGGTCAAAAGAAAGAAAACCCAAGGATGTGGGTGTCCAAATCTTAAGATCTTAAACATACTCACTCAGCATCCAGCAGAGAGCTTGCCACAGACAGGGTGCCACACCCGCAGCCAAAGTCAGCCACCACTTTGCCAGTTATGTCATCAAAACTATTCTCCGCCTGATGGATTTATGGAATCACTATGAGCGAGATAAAAAGCACACCAGAACAACTTGAATGTTAGCATCTGAACAGCGCACATGCCAGCCATCTACTATTTGTCAACTTGATACTGACAAACCACAAAAGTAGACATTGCCAACGGTTGCAACCTGCAAATATAGGTGATCTGCCGAAACACCAGAACCTCCAAAGTATCTACTTCGATGGACATCGCCAAAGTTTACACTCGATGATGGCTTATCAAAACTAAAGGCTCGAAAGACCAACTACATGAATAACAACTATTCTAAGAATTTCAAAGCACTAAGAAGTCTGAAATCGCTACATGCCTAGAGGAAGAGCCACTCTACTCTTAGCCATGAACCTACTACTGCTGGTATGCTGCTTGGTCGGTTTGGACATGGAACCAAAGCTGCTGCACTTGACGTCGCCCAATTCCACTCACATCACAAAAGGAAGAAAAAAAACAGCAGGATCGTATTCGAAGACCAAAGCAAAAGATAAAAAAAAATCTACACTCTAGTATAAAGCACAAAATCAAAGCAGGAAACTACACGGGGAATCGGAACAGGATGCTACTACTACCGTGTAGAGCATCCGCGACGCGATGTGAGGGCCCGTTGCATACTGCTCCAGCTCCACCTGCACCCACCGACCACCACCACCACCGGCGGCGGCGGCAGAAAAGGTCAGACATATTCCCGCCACCACTTTGGGCGGCGATGCGAATCGGAAGACAAGACGCCGGCAAAGTGAGTGCGCGGCGGCGGTAAATTTACCTTGGGTGCGGTGAACTGCTGCAGGTCTCCGAGGAGACCCTCCAGCTGCTTCAGCTTCATCTCCTCCTCCCCTCGCCGCCGCCGCCGCCGTCGTCGTCGCCGTGGAAGATGGAGCTCTCTCTCTCTCTCCCCCACTGCCGGGCCGGAGGCTTTGCCTTTTTTCTTAGGGCCGGCGCGGGTGGGACCGGGAGATTGGGCCCCATATGGCCCATCTCTAATGGGCCCCGCTACATTGATTGGGCCACGTTGGGTCTTGGGCCGGATAGGAAGGCCTAATACGAGTGAGTGGGCCTATTACATCATGGTCCTCGTGGATAATTGGGCCGATAAAATGGGCCGCGTGGGCGGTGGAGTCGAAACGTCCCGCCGCCGCCGCGGCCGTCGACTGCGCCGGCGAACTCCGCGTTCTCCGGATGCGCCGCGCCGCGGGGTGGGGGATTTTTTGCGACGTGGAGTTCGCGCCGCGCGACGCCGGAGGTGAGTGCTCCGCCCACCGTCGTGCTCTCCTCCGTTTCGAACTGGCAATTGATAAGCTTTGATGTCTAGGTTTCGGACGGCTTATGAAGTTGCTGAACTGGGATGCGACCATTTTTTTTCTCCGATTGAATTTTGAAGCAATTCAGTGCAAAGGTAAATGGCAGGGATTTGCAATTTGAGATGCTAATCTTTTGTCCCTGCAAGGTGAATTTCGCAACATTTCTGTGCAAGGTAGTGGCATGAATTTGCAATTTGATAGACTAATATGTGTCCCTGCGAAAGTTGAATAGTTGAAACAATTTTGTGCAAGCTGTTGGATATGCTTTGGATCGGTTTGGCACAAAGTGGAACCACAAATTAAAATAGGTTTGGATCATACCTTGATCTCCCGGAGTTCCCATTTCTCTGTTGTTTGTTCTTCTTTCTTTTCCTCTTGTTTGGAAGCACAGAGAGGAGAGAGATGTGCTATGGCTCTTCCCTGTGTTCTCAGTGGGTTGCTAGATCGGGTAGCGAGAGAAATCTCTTAGGGTTTAATACTTAGGTGTTGATTTCTATTTATAGCCACTGCACACAGGGGGAACCGACACTAGTGGAGGCGGTAAATCCCCCGATCAGGGACTTTCTTGAAGGGGCGATCACTGTAGCGATTGCCCTAAAAAATCTTTCTTGCCGACTTTGGTTTAGCCGCAAGATCACATTTGTGTTCACAGTAACACAAGCTAGTGCCATGAATTTGCAATTTGATAGATTAATCTGTTGTCCTTATCGAAGTGTCAATTTAAGTTTTGAATGGTTTCTTTACCTCAAAAAAAAAAAAGTTTATAATGGTTTCATTTACATTCAGTACCTTGGTAGTACCTGGCAATATTATTGGTCATTGCTCAAGATAAGTGTTGAAACATGATCATGTATAGGCTTGATTACTGACCGGATATATAGGTTTCTTGGTCTCATTTCACAAGTCTTTGCACACCTTAATTGAGACGTTTAGTATATCTGCATCACATGGCATGTAATCCAGTCTTACTCACGACTACCATGTTGCAATGGGTGGGTATGCCACGTTTTGGGAGTAATGCATGCTTAATTCTCTCTTGCATGAAGTAATCTATTAATGAAACCAAATGAGGCGCCTTAACTCGCCAATTAATGGAAACATTAAACTCTATTTAGTCGTGGTGTTTAAGTTTAAGGGCCAATACGTTCTTGTCTAGATATATTATGACATGTTATGCCTGTGTCTCCTCCCCTGAAAGATGCAGGCAAAGAGGGGCCATATTTTTCAATCTCTCTCCCCACCCCCTGACTTGAGCTTCTGAAATCCACCATGGATTTCAGTTGCTTGCAGCCACATTCAGGAGGTTGTGATGATATGCCATTTGATTCCTATGTGCAGCAAAATGGCCATCAGGAGCTCCATCTTGTTGATCATCCATTCAACAATGTCACTGACGGCCATGAATACTATTCTCCATCTGCTGGTGGATCTTTTCTTCCCTTTGCAACCTACTATGATCTTGGCCATGAGTACTACCCTCAAGGAGGAGAAAAGGATGCTGTCGTCGTCGATCGGGCTTCGCCGACTATTCGTAAAGCTTCGCCTCACCTGCCTCTCTTCACACCTAAATCTGAGGTTTCTCATCTCATAGGAGGCGGTGTCGTTGGATCATATAAGGCATTTGAGATGAATTCTAGGCTTATCCGGCGCAAAAGGGCTTCGGGTAAGTCTCTGAAGAAGGCTAATGTTGTCAAAGGCCAGTGGACATTGGAAGAAGACAGGTAAACTAAACTAAATTTGTCCATGCATGTTCTGTTTAATTTAACCTCTGTATGTCCACCTAAAGGAGTTCATGGTTAGTAGGACATAGGATTGTTCATGTTCTCCCTAGTAATTGACAAATGTAAATGAATTGATTCTTGCGAAATTTAAACAGGAAGCTTGTGAAATTAGTCGAACAGTTTGGACTAAGGAAGTGGTCTCACATTGCTCAAATTCTTCCTGGAAGAGTTGGCAAACAGTGCAGAGAAAGATGGCACAACCATTTGAGGCCTAACATCAAGGTACTCTGTGCTCCTACATTTTGTTTGTCCAAGTACTGTTTCTTAATTTGAAAAGGATATAATACTGTCTATTTCGATGCTTTCAGTGCACAGAAAAGAAAATGTTCTTGTGAATAATGCCCCTGCATTTCAATGTTGTTCGATATTTCCTTGTTTTACTTATTGCTTGTTTGAACGAAATTCCTCAAGAAAAGCCAATTTTGATACATTCATATCAATGCTAATAAACTCCCCAATACATTTATTCTCCCTTCACAACCTTGAGATAAACTCCCCAATAGAATACTGTCTATTTTGAAGGTCACGGAATCTGAACGCAATGTGTAAAGTAAATGTTTGAAGCTAGTCAAAGATTAAAAACTGGTCTAAGAGAGAGCATTGAATATTGATTTGAATACATTTAAATCAATCCTAATAAAAAAATTGACCTTAAACTATCCCTAAATATTTTCCTATATAGCATTCGATCATTTTGATTAGCCCAACATTCACAAGTGCTCAAGGACAGTTTCTTCTTGATAAGCAGGGAGCCAGGATAAGGTGGTGTTCTAAATAGAAAGGAAGCCACAGAAATTAGGAACAAAAACGCTTAGGAAGCATCACAGTAGATGAGAATTAGAAAAGCTAAATATCATTTTGCAACTGTTAATATCAAGGAGAAACCAATAAATCTATAAGAACGGATATTCATAAAAAAAATTGGCATGTTCCTTTTTAAAAATAAAAACTGACATGTTAGTTTTCATGACAATCACACTTTTTATAGAGTTTCCATGCTTGGAATAATCCTTCTGTGTAACAAAAAAAAATGCAGAAAGATACATGGAGTGAAGAGGAAGACATAGTTCTAATCCAAACACACAAAGAAGTGGGCAACAAATGGGCAGAGATAGCTAAGCACCTGCCTGGTAGAACAGAAAACTCCATCAAGAATCACTGGAATGCAACAAAGAGAAGGCAATTCGCACGGAGGAGGAGCCGCGCTAGCTCCAAGAACCCCAAATCTGGAACCCTTCTGCAAAACTACATCAAGAGCCTTGGAATTGGTCCAATCAAGTCAAGTGTTCGTCAAGCTCCACCAGAATCTACTGCAGTGTCATCGTCTTCACCAGCATCCACACAAAAGTTAGCAGAGGTGAATGGTAAGATCAGGCCAGATTCCAACCCATCCAACCAAATGGTCACCCAGGGAATACTCACCATGGATGAGAACAGCTACATCCAGACCAACTCTTGTGAAGAACTCCTGGTCTCTACCTATGATGATTTATGCCTTGATATGTGTGATCATTTGTTCGAAACGAAGGACGAGATGCCGTACCAGGTTTACAACATAGATGATGATGTTGACATGAACTACATCTTCAACCACATTGATTATGCTAACAAGATTGGCCATGAGATAGATATGGAAATGGCATGGGACGATGATGTCCTCCAAGACGATGAATCAGCTGGATCATCACCATTGGAGACACCGGCAGGTCTAGCACAAATCAATACCGTGCATGTGAAGGAGGAGATGGATCTAATTGAGATGGTCACACGCACACAATCTTGTGGCTAGTGGATGAGAAAATAAGCAGTGATGTAACTATGTGTGCTACTAAATACACATTACACGACCTTTCGGAGTGCAACCTGGGGAACCTATATGGTGAAGAAATATTAGAAAAATAAGAAAAACAAACATGTATGGGTTCGAACGAAGCACTTGATTATATATTATATTGTAACTAATATTCTAAGTTTTTCTCTTCGTACTTTTGGCATGCACTCTCTCTTTAATAAGTACTTTATTTTTACCTTTTCTTACATTCCAATTTACTCGTTTTATCTACTCACACTTAATTAGTTCATGCTGAGAAACAACTAGTGTGGTATACTCACATATATTGAACACAGACCAATTAAGGTAAGAATTAGGCAACATAATTATAAGCATATATCTAAGCTGACATGATTAGTGGTCAGTTAATTGTTTACTTCGTATTTATTAATTAGTAACAAAACATCTTCATTACATACTGAATTCAGACTAACATATAGATTATGTTCTTGCAGCATTCATCAATCAAACCGGGATCATTCCTTTGTTCAGTTCAAAAGAGCATAAACAAACGCACTAAATTTAGCACACACACTTAAGGTAAAACCCGCATGTAAAAGAGAGCATTACGTCAAACACCACATCCAACATAGGAGATGTCCATTAATGTGATAAGCAATTCATTCATTGGTTGAGGTGATCCATGTAAGCTTGATACCTGCATGGGAGAGGGAAATGACGACGAAATTAACACATATATTTAAAATAAAAAAATTGGACCAATCTAGGAAGGAGTAGATTGATTTTGAATTAAGGAGGGGGTGAGACTCAAACCCGGACCGGCTAGTTCGCAGCTTGCGTTGCTAGCCGGAAAGACCCCGGGCCTTTCTCCAACAAACTCCAACATAAATTAACACATATATTTATGTTAAGTATCTAACAAACTCCAACTAAAAAGAAAATGCTTTTTAAAGTTCTGGACAAAGTTTTAGTACACATCATCGTTCTTCAGTCCCTAACAGTACGACGAACTACTTTTTTTTTATCTTGCCAAATTTAGTTCATTAAACTCTGAGTTAAACTTGAAGCTAGCTAGTACTACTAATTTATAATAGTGCCTTGTCTCCTTTTGCCCCACAATATAGGAAGCGAAACATATGTAGCTCACATTGAACTTTGATTAATTAGTGAATATTGATTTAGATAGTTGGTCAATAACAAATTAGATCATAACTTGTATGAGCTGAAGTATACAAATTACCCTATATGCAGGGAAGGGTCACAAATTGCATGATGGAGAAACTCTTGGTTAGCTTCACTAGCATGGCCACTGGGCCCTACATCTTGGCAAGATATATGAAGCATATTTTCTCCACTAGTTTCTTGTATCTGTTGCAATAAAAAAGATTTTTAGTTAAGCTGAAAGAACTGCAATTCCCTTTTTAAGTATATACACAAGCAACCGAAATGATTCAGATCACTTCAATATTTAACCATGAATTTAAGAACATTATACATCCCTTTGCCTTGAAAATTTAATAATATTATTTGGACTAGTATATTAATATCAAATTAACAGCTATGGGGATTCACAGTACCACTGAATTTGAGCAAGGCCATTATTAATTTGATTGCACCGTCTATATTTCTTTAGATAAATAACGTGTAACCGAGCAGCAAGGGATTATTATATTGCTCATGTGAGCCTTCAGAACGACAGCAATCGGAAGCTAGTTCGAGAAAAGAGTAATTAGTTTCTTAATTTATTAGTTGGATTTTCTACCTCATAAATACATTTGATGTATTAAATAATACCTCTGTCACAAAATATAAGAATTTTTAGGGCTGGATATGGGTATTAAGGAAGTAAGAAAATTAAATCGGAAAATGTTGATAAGATAATTTAGATGGAGAAGTTGTTATATTTGGGGATGGATGGAGTATATGCTAAGAGAAATTTATTGTTCATTCTTATTGAAGCTACAAATAGTTTCCCTCAAAAAAAATTATCACATCTTTTTTCTATGTGTTTGTACATGTAGGATATGACTCGATCGTAGGCACATGGAAATTATATAACATACTCATGCTCAAGGCTAGCAGCTCCGGAGAGAGAGTAATATAATTAACGTTTGGAGTTTTATCACATATGGAGTATATATACTAATCTGTATATATTACCTTCCTTTTTAAGTCTTTATTAGCATCTTGAAGTTGTTGTTCCTGCAAAACTTATCAGTTATTATTTCTGGGGACTAGATAGTAGTCAAAAGATTAACGAAAACGTACCCATAAAACAAAGACAGCACACACATGGATTACCTTACGTTTGAGCTCAAATACTTGATCAAGCAACTGTTGATTCTGTAAAAATGTATATACAAATGATTTACCAGCAAAGTTTGATCAAGTTAAAATTTGATGTTTCATGTAATACTTGCGTAACAAAACCAAAAAAAAAAAACAGAGCATAGGTAATATATAACATATAAGATGGTGTATATGATGTATAAAGTACTGTGTCAAGCGGGAATCAAGCTAAATATGCGTCGAAATTAATATGATTCATTTCACTATGTAATTACCTTTGATGACCTGATATTCATGAGGGATATCTCGATCTGGTTCTCAAGTTGCTCGAGCTCCTTCAAGCTAAGTGGAACCAAGTCCTCGCCAAGAAGATTTCTGCATAAGATCAGAGTTAGTCCATGTGTGTAACATGTAGAAAAGCTTTCTGAGAAGATCCCACGTGCATACCTCTGAGTTGTTTGTAGGAACTCAACTCTTGTCTTTAACTTTAAGTACTCTTGGTAATTGCTCTATATGAATGCCAAATTAGCAGCCAAATATTAATTGAAAGAAAATCATGATTACTATGTAAAAGTTGATGAGTTGGAATATGCCTGGCATAGAACTAATTAAATTGGACATGAGAAATTAATTAATTAATTAATAGACAAAACTTAAAATGGTAATGGCATATCATGAAGTATATACATACTGCATATTGCTAATTGTTGTGTTAGTTGACAACAGAACTTATTTGTTACTTCCTCCGTTTTATATTATAAGACTTTCTAACATTATTCACATTCATATAGATGTTAATGAATGTGGACAATGCTAAAAAGTCTTATAATATGAAACGGAGGGAGTAGATATGTAGCATGCATGCATGGATAATACTTGTTTCGTCCTCGATATATACATATATAGCTGCTGTTCAAAAGGGGAATATACCCTGCGCAGAATGTACTGTAAAAATGTAATTTAAAAGACAAGTCTGTTTAAAATATACATTAATTAACCTATCATGTCTAGCATATTATACATCTATCATGCACGAACATGAGAATTATGTAAAATTTTAAGATATCACATACGTTTTATTAAATATTATGTATGGCAGTGTACACATCGATATTTCCTTGTAAACAATAATTGTAGCCCCTATCACAACGTATACCAGATTGTGTTAATTACATAACTTATATCCAAAACAAGCCTGATTCTCCTTTATTAACAGCTAGCAGCAGTTGCTGCACAGATAGAGATGATTCATTAGATCTAAAAATATGCTTGGCCACATAGATCCTCATGTTTCAACTAATGACCAAATTAAGTTCAATTCTTTGAAAAAGTTTAAGGAACCATAGTTTATTACAGGTGAATTGCATATGCAGCAATCATATTCAGAATCAGATGGTTACTAGTTCAGTTTCCAGTGCAGCAGATGCTTCACATGAGTTAAGGTTGTAGTTGCAACTGCGGTATCGCTCCAGTGTCTTGTACATACTGTTACAAAAAAGAAAATCAGTGGACCACAAAACTATTTTCAATGCAGTATCAGTTAAAGTTGTTATATTATATTTTGTTGTTTAAATACATGTATATACAACCCGATTTTCCTACATATGCATGATCAGTTTATTTTGCCTTTCATAATTAATGGAGCATATATCAGTTATATTTTCTAGGGTATGTGCACAGCGCACCCTAAGTTTGGAGCCAGGGTTTTAAATTTCGAAAGAAGGATTTCTACCGCAGGTGGGCGATATAACCAAAATTTCAGATTTTTTTTTCGTACGATTTTTTTTGAATTTTTGACTGATTTTGAATGGATTTGAATAAAATTTGACCAAATTCACAAAAATTTGCAAACAACCGAAAGTTTCGGGCGAGATATGAACATTTCGGTGGGGGCGAAATTTCGAGCCGAAATTTCAAACCCTGTTTGGAGCTATAAACACTATCACTTACAAACATGTATATATTTGATTGATTTGTGTTAAATTATTAGAAAATTGTACTCTGTTTTTTTAGAAAAAAACAATTGTAACTAACATTCAGATTTTGTTTCAAAATAAGTGCAATTCTAAAGGAGTGCAGTACTATTTTTCCCTACAACCACCCCCCTCATTCAAATTATGATCCCTATTTTACCCCCAACCACAATTTCACTCCCAATCATTTTACTTCTTGCTAATTTGTCTTTTAAATGCTAGAGTTACATTATTTTCTTTGTGGATACTGGATAGAAGGAGTATATTTTTTGGGGAGGGAAAAGGAGGGAGTACATTGTGACTAGGAGCTTGGAAAATTCAACCAATCCAAACTTTTGGTACACAAGTACTCCTACTACATACCCTAACGGTAGGGTAGCTAGTAACTGTGCCTTGTAAATCGACACAACCTCGTTCCAGACTAGCTAGCCTGTACTGTGCGCTGACAGAAAATTTTGGCAATCGACACGCACGCCTCTCGCACGATAAGTTGTTTGCATACCATATGACAATGTTCAAATGATCAAATCAATCTATTCGCATCATCGCATGTGAAATTATGAATCGCATAGGAGTATGAAATTACGAATGCAGTGAATTAACTTGGGTGTGTGTCCGGCCACGCCTAGCTAGAAATCAATTCGATCTTTCGTACCACACAACTACAACTAGGCTGTGTTTAGTTCACACCAAAATTAGGGTCCCTTTGAATCGCAGGATTGAAAAAACGTAGGAATAGGAAAAACGTAGGATTTTGGTAGGAATGTAAGTGTAAAACAGAGGATTGCAAAACGCAGGAAAAACACATGAATGACCGTTTGATTGAACCGCAGGAAAAACGCAGGAATTAGATGAGAGAGATAGACTCAAAGGAAAGTTAGCAAGAGGTTGAAGCTCTTGCTAAATTTCCTCCAAAATCTCTATAGGATTGTCCATTCCATAGGAATTTCAAAGGATTGGATAGGATTCAATCATTTGTTTCAAAGGGCTTCATAGGAAATTTTTCTATAGGATTGAAATCCTCTAAAATTCCTATGTTTTTCCTCCAATTCAAAGGGGCCCTTAGAAGTTTGGTTGAAATTGAAACGATGTGACGTAAAAGTTAAAAGTTTATGTGTGTAGAAAAGTTTTGATGTGATGAAAAAGTTAAAAGTTTGATGAATTATTTTGGATCTAAACACGGACCGTGTACATATCCACAGGGAGGATAACAACCGACGAGACGATCGATACAGAGATGCTTATCTCCACGAGTACTCCTACGACTTTTCCTCCTGCTGCTGCATTACTACTTTTCCTCTTGCTTCTGCAGCTGCAATCGCATGCACACTAGTACAGCCGAGACATTTGACAAGACGTAGAGAGAGAAACCTAGCTAGAGAGAAAGAGAGAGAGACTCAATGGAACAGTGGAACCCAAGAACAACCCCTATGTTGCGAGTTCCCAATGGAACAGTAAAACCAGAGCAAGAAACCCTCCCAACTTGCCATTGGAAAAGATGCTCCTAATTAAGATCTGACAAAAATAACTTGCCATTGGAAAAGGCACTGCAGCCTAGTATATGTGCTTGTGCAATATGAGAATTAAGATGCAATATGCGTACTAGTAGTACTATATGCCATGTTCTTGTGCAGATCTGGAGGGGTCTCATCTACTTCACTCTGAAAATTGCATGCACTAATGAAAGAGCTAGAGAGACAAGCATGGAAGAGATCAGCTTAGAGATATCTAGCATGCAGCTCTAGCCTACAAATGGAAGCAAGCATGGAGAGATTGCATGCTTGATTCTGTTGACAGAGTACTAGTCTCTATGGCAACTGCAAACCGTAAAGAGGAATTAGGGGACGGCAAACACACACAGATCGGCAGCCATCAGGTGACTAGAACGGCTGTCCTGTCTCTCTTTCTTTAACCAAAACAACAACAGGAACAGGTTAGTTAATCAGCTATGAGCATGTATATGATCACGATCGAGGTGGTAAAAATTAACTAAAATCAGGATCTTTGAGAAAGATTGGTAAAAATTCCAACAAATACAAACGAAATGCTGGTATATATATGTTTTAAACACAAACAAAGCAGCAGGGAAAAGACTGGGTGTAAGAACTTCCCGGACAAACATGAGATGTTAATTAAACACACGGACTGATGATTAATTAGAACATGGTAGCTAGGTGGGCAGTAGCTAGCCCAGAAATCACAAGGAGCTTCAAAAACTCATAACGAGAAAACTAGTCTTTCTTGGCTGCAAACTAATTAACTAACTTTGCATTAGAATTAGGGCGAGATATATATGAATTCTCTGCAAGGGGCGAGAGCTTGCAAGAGAGAATTATTAGTAGTACCAGGAGGAGGTGGAGAACTCGAAGAGGCGGCCGCGGGTGGAGAAGATGATGAGGGCGACCTCGGCGTCGCAGAGCACGGACAGCTCGTACGCCTTCTTCAGCAGCCCGTTCCTCCTCTTCGCGAACGTCACCTGCCGGCTTATCTTGTTCTCGATCCGCTTCAGCTCTACTTTCCCTCGCCCCATCGATCTCTCTCTAGCTCTCTCTCGGTCTCAAAATCTCTTCTTGATCTATCTCCTCTCTCTCCTTGCCTAGCTAGTTAGCTGCAGCCTGCAAGCTTCCCTCTCTCTCCCTCTCCCTTGCAGTCTTGCTCCGTTTGTTGGGGATGGATGGATCATGGATGTAGTAGCTAAGTAGCTCGGCTAGCTAGCCATGCTCTCGTACCATCGGCTGTGCTGGCCGGAGTGCTCCTTGCCTTCTTTTCTCTCTCTCTCTCTCTCTCTCTCTCTCTCTCTCTCTCTCTCTCTCTCTCTCTCTCTCTCTCTCTCTCTCTCTCTCTCTCTCTCTCTCTCCCCCTATGACCAAGTCAGTCACAGTAAGTTGTTAGCTTAATTATCAGCCGTAGCTAGTAAAATTTAAGTGTGAAATTTAATCTTACATTTAGTTTTAAAGTTTTTTTCACCGTAGTCTATTTGATTATCAGCATTATCCTTTAAAATGCAAGATATAAAATTTCTTAACCATTAATTAAGGGCTCCTTTAAAATAAATGATTGAAAAATGGAAGATGAAAAAAACAAGATTTTGAAGATATTGGCTCTGTTCGGCTGCACTCATTTTCATTGTGTTGCAGCCAATCGTCACAGTGTTTTTTTTTGTTCAGCTGCAGCAGCGCAGCTGCTAAACATAAAAAACATAGACAGATTGCAAAAGTTGCGAGCAGGTCCATTGTAATTGCGAAAGAGAGAAAAAAAAAACAAGAACAACCATTTGAGTATGTAGGCCATTTGAAAAACGTAGGAATTGAATGAGTGATATAGACTCATTGGTAATCTTTTAAAAGGTTAGAGCTCTTAATAACTTTAATTCCTCCAAAGTCTCTATAGCATTGTTTGTTCCATATGAATTTCAAAGAAAATGTTAAGATTTAATCATTTATTCGAAGTTATCTTTAGGATTTTTTTTTCAATAAGATTAAAAATCCTTTTTTTATGTTTTTTCATACAAATAGAGGCCTTAATTAATTTTACATGTAGGAGTTATTATTTCCACTCAAACGATCGGAGTATCCTTGATTCTTTGGCTACAACTACCTATATAGACTCATTGGTAATCTTTTAAAAGGTTAGAGCTCTTAATAACTTTAATTCCTCCAAAGTCTCTATAGCATTGTTTGTTCCATATGAATTTCAAAGAAAATGTTAAGATTTAATCATTTATTCGAAGTTATCCTTAGGATTTTTTTTCAATAAGATTAAAAATCCTTTTTTTATGTTTTTTCATACAAATAGAGGCCTTAATTAATTTTACATGTAGGAGTTATTATTTCCACTCAAACGATCGGAGTATCCTTGATTCTTTGGCTACAACTACCTATATAGACTCATTGGTAATCTTTTAAAAGGTTAGAGCTCTTAATAACTTTAATTCCTCCAAAGTCTCTATAGCATTGTTTGTTCCATATGAATTTCAAAGAAAATGTTAAGATCTAATCATTTATTCGAAGTTATCCTTAGGATTTTTTTTCAATAAGATTAAAAATCCTTTTTTTATGTTTTTTCATACAAATAGAGGCCTTAATTAATTTTACATGTAGGAGTTATTATTTCCACTCAAACGATCGGAGTATCCTTGATTCTTTGGCTACAACTACCTATATAGACTCATTGGTAATCTTTTAAAAGGTTAGAGCTCTTAATAACTTTAATTCCTCCAAAGTCTCTATAGCATTGTTTGTTCCATATGAATTTCAAAGAAAATGTTAAGATTTAATCATTTATTCGAAGTTATCCTTAGGATTTTTTTTCAATAAGATTAAAAATCCTTTTTTTATGTTTTTTCATACAAATAGAGGCCTTAATTAATTTTACATGTAGGAGTTATTATTTCCACTCAAACGATCGGAGTATCCTTGATTCTTTGGCTACAACTACCTATATAGACTCATTGGTAATCTTTTAAAAGGTTAGAGCTCTTAATAACTTTAATTCCTCCAAAGTCTCTATAGCATTGTTTGTTCCATATGAATTTCAAAGAAAATGTTAAGATTTAATCATTTATTCGAAGTTATCCTTAGGATTTTTTTTCAATAAGATTAAAAATCCTTTTTTTATGTTTTTTCATACAAATAGAGGCCTTAATTAATTTTACATGTAGGAGTTATTATTTCCACTCAAACGATCGGAGTATCCTTGATTCTTTGGCTACAACTACCTGGAAATGGATTTTGGGCGGGCCCAGGGATAGATGTTGGGTCTCGCGCTCGGAGGTCTCAACTCTGATTGCTTTTCTCCTTTTTAAAGAGAAAAAAATGGCCCCTGGTGGGGCCCACGCCATGCATTGAGAAAAGGCAGCGTGTTGGCGACGCTCGCGATTGGTCGCCGGCTACCTGCTCAGGGCTCCGTGGGACCCAGCGGTCGAGCGGCCCACATGTCAGTGGCAGTGGGGTAACGTAGGGGGCACGTGTCGACGGCTCACTGGGCTCTCGAGTCTCTGCTGGGACGATGTGGAAGATACGTTCGCGTCACATCGCTGCTCGCCGTTCGTGAAAATCCAATCGGTATTACTACAGGGTTTTTTACTTTTTTTTTCTTTTTAAAAACTTATTTGACATGTACTCTCTCCGTTCCTAAATAACCCAAACCCTAACTTCCCAAGGAGTTTTTAGGAAGAGAAACAAAAGACTACAATGCCCTTAATTAATGTGAATAATGTTGTATTAAATGATGGGTAGGTGAGGGGTAAGTAGGAAAGAAGGTAGAAGTTGGTTTATTTTAAAACAAATTTAAACTATAGAAGTTGATTTATTTTGGGACGGATGGAGTAGATCTTAAAAAAACTTACTTTAGAAGTGAATCATTTTCACCGCGCCAACGTCATTAGTGTCATGGTCCAACATGCCGACACCATTCCTCTCTCGGGAAAAGCTAAGTCAATAATGTAGGAGTGGTAAAGTTAGGACGGCGCCAACAATATTAGCGCCAAGAACTTATTTGTAAAAATTATATTTAAAAATAGGTTTTATGTGTCGGTGTTATTGGTGCCGAGGATCTATTTGTAAATATTTTCTATTACAAATAGGTATATTTTCTAGAATAAGTTTTTTCAGATGTCTATATGTAAAATAAGTTTTCAGAAAAGTCCAAAGTGCAAAGATATATAGATATTACTATCTATGTTTCAAAATATAAAAAAACCATAGTATCGGATGGGATACATCCTTATAGATATGAGACCTATCCACATTTATTGTATTAGCTAGGTTATGTCCAACCTTATTTTAGTTTCCTATATTTTAAGACGGAATGATGGCTTCAATTTATGGACATTTTGATCCAAACCCCAGAAAGGAAGGGAGACAAGAAACTTTTGTTCTTTTGCTTGGCTTAACTCTCCCGGCTAGATGACCGGTTGGAAGGAAGCTGAAAGACAAGAAACTTGAGTATCTGAACTGTGTATTTGCACGAGTTAATTAATTATTAACAGCTAGGTAGACCAAATGAAGTGCAGTTCAGCTAGCTAGGCACGCATGTTTGTAACAAGAATTAATTGTAATGATATACTCCGTCCGTCCCATAATATAAGGGATTTTGAGTTTTTCTTGTAACGTTTGACCACTTGTCTTATTTAAAAAATTTTGAAATTATTAATTATTTTATTTGTGAGTTACTTTATTATCTACAGTACTTTAAACACAACTTTTCGTTTTTTATATTTGCAAAAAAAAATTTGAATAAGACGAGTGGTCAAACGTTGCAAGCAAAAACTGAAAATCCCTTATATTGTGGGACGGAGGGAGTAGATCGATGCACGTCTGGTGTCATTTTATGTGTTCATTCTGGGAACATATATGATTTCACATGTCTGCCATTGAACTCGCGGTTAGGAATAACCGAATAAATCAATAAATATTTAGTGAATACACAATATAAAAAAGAAGTATATATAGGACCATTTTGTCTTTATTAAAAAATGTGCCCTATCAAATATTTATAGCTTCGAATAAGTAAACATGCATATTTGGATTGGAGCCAAATCATTGTAACTATACTCAAGCGCGACATTTCACCAACTCAATCCAGTTAGATTTGGCACACTGCAATCCAAACAAATTAAGAATTCTACCTATGCTACCAAATAATATATATGTGACGCCAAACCTTACGAATGTTCCAAAGGCACTGTAAAAAAATTGGTACGGTGGAAAATTGAAATGGCTTACTGTTACTTTTATGGATGATGTACATATATAAACGATCTATACCTCTTTCATTACAAACTTATTTTTTCTGATTATATTAAAGAGGTGTACTACGTGCACAAATTATAATAAGGGCTGTGTTTAGATCCAAACTTCAAACTTTTTCCATCACATCAACCTGTCATATACACACAACTTTTCAGTCACATCGTACTAATTTCAACCTAAATTTTTAACTTTAAAAGGAACTAAACACAGCCAACAAGATAGTGTAGTATGTTTGAAAATGCCAGTAAAAGTAGATGAGTTGGAGTAGGGATATAGAGCCCGATGGTACGTAGCTCCATATTGCAACTACTTCTATCTGGCCCCCACTGTTTCATGTGCTGCCTACATACAGTTAATAAAGCCGGCTTGGCCATGTTGCCATTGCATGCGAGAGATGTGCCCCGGCCGGCAGATATAGCTACAGTAGCTCCTTTGCCCGACGCGGACGCGATGCGACGGCTTTGCTGCTGACGCCACGCACCTGACCTGACCTGACCCATGGCCCTAGTGCGGACCACGTGTCGACCCCTCTGTGGCCCAGCGAAACCATGCCATGCCATGCTACTGCCCAGCGCCTGAGTCACCTGGCCCCGGACAAGCCGGAGGGACTCCCCCCTCTAGATGCAAGCCAGCCGACCCGCCAAACTAGTTAGATCAGAGGATTGAAAAACGTAAAAAAATTATAGAAATGATTATTTAATTGGTACAAAGGAAAAACATAGGAATGTTGAGTATTAAGTTAATAGCAATCAAAATTTGAATAAGTAAGATCTTATCTTCCAATAGTGTCTTGCCTCGATCCTACGCATAGGAAAAGAAAAATGAGCTCAAGGTGGATGTTAATTTTCCTATGAAATTCCCTTGAAATCATGGTCATAGGAAATTTTTCCATGCTTTTCCTATGTTCAATTCCTACAAATCAAAGGCATGAACAATACCAAATCCCATAGGATTCTTATTCCTATGTTTTTCCTCTATTTTATTCTATGAATCAAATGAGGCCTTATATGTTAAATAAATGGTAATCCGTGAATTTTCGAATCATGTGCTATACCTAGAAATGCCAATGTGTCAATACATAAACTTATTTATAAATCAAATTAGTAGGTAACGTGGTTACTGATTAATTTTACCTATAAACAGGTTCATGGGTTGACTCGCTTACATCCCTACTCCCCTCCCCGCGAGGGTAGATACATGTTAGTCCGAGTCATCCGACCTAATTAAGCATGCCCTGCACTCTAATAAGGTGTTTTTTTTTCTCTCGCAAAGTTACTAACAAACTTTGATTCCGAATCATAGACTTGTTGCACTGTAAGCTGGATGTATAAATGTTCGGTATATAGATTTCTACTCTTTCCGTCTTAAAATGAGTTAACTTTTTTACACGAAACGGTTATCGGAAGTTGATTTATTTTAAGAAGAGCAGAAAGAAAAAGGAATGTGACGCCAAAGAAAGAAAACCATACGGCATTTGCACAAGTCCATTGCTTCATCACTTGCCTGTAGGCGCTGCGACTAGTAGGACCAGGGTTTTCCATACCGACAGGCGGCAGTGTCACCCCTCCTCACGGCCAGTAAGCCTGTTACCAAGCAAAACCAAATACTCCGTCCGTTTCAGGTTATAAAATGTGTTGACTTTGATCAAAATTAAAGTATTTTAAATTTAACTAAATTTATAGACAAATATAGTAATATTTGCGTTAACAAATTAGTTTTACTAAATTAATAATAAATATATTTTTATAATAATTTTATCTTGAATAAAAAATATTACTATTTTTTCTATAAACTTGATCAAACTTGAATAAGTTTGACTTTGATCAAAGTCAAAATATCTTATAACCTGAAACGGAGACGGAGGGAGTAATATTTATCAAAAGCATCAATTTTTAAACTTTGTCGATATAGCGAGTAGGTGTTGTTACCCAACTTTAGCAGTAAACCCGATTATTGTTTGGGGCATGCTGTGCTTGAGATGAAGGTCCCAGTGTCGATTCGCAGCTCGTACACGGCGTGCTTCATTTTCTTTCATCCATGAACACGAATCTTGAAGACTGAAGTCATGCATACCACCGTGCACAAAGGAAAAGGTTTTTTTGCTACTAATTAGATACTTGGGTCAGTCGAAGGCATTTGTTAAGTCAGTAGGCAATTATACTTAGTTTAATTTACACTGTTAAGCCAGGTCAGGCTTCTCCGAGTCCGAGAGGAACATATGCCTCCATTCCTGCATGACCTTGTCTTCAAACATGCTGTACACTAACAGAGAACTATCTGAAACTGAGGAATTGAAAAATGCAGGAACGGCAAATTATCTGAAACGAAATGCAAAAATTGTGCAAGACAAAGGATCGAGAGAAAGAGCGAAGCTGCACAGTTGCACTTGCACACTTTGCAATGAACTTCTGGAATAAATCTTAACACAGCCTTTAAACCCAAGTCTGAAATCACTACAAAAGCATAGGAAAGAAAGTGATTTCTACAAGATTTTCTTCTATTCCCATTTGTGCAGCCCAAAAGGCATATCATAATCGAAAAAAAAGTTCCCAGAATTCATCTGCTGAAAATTCCTTCAAAGCTCCTTTGGTCCACCTACAAGTATCAAACTGGCCCACTGGGCACCAGCCTGCTCCTGAATACCTGAACCAATAACCATCAATCCATCATCCAATTTGCAGCACCCAGCTGGTCCATACATGCATGCTGGTATCCGACAAAAGGAAACATGTGCTAAAATCCAGGTAGTGAAAACTGTGCATGAAGCTGGACAAGCAGCTAGCATCATCATCGATCATCATTCATCAATGCTTAGGTACGTCGTCCTTTCCTTTGCAACAGAAGACCTGTCGCCTTGTGATCAAGCAAGTGTACATGAGGCCCCTACCTTACGACGACGATGGATCCAACCCTCAAATCATAAAAGAGGTAGGAGTACCTTCACTCAACTACTTCTCCTGATCTGAAATAAATTCGTTTTAGATTTGTATAATAAAATAAATAAAATATTGTCTTTTTTCATTCTTCATAGAAATGAAAGCTAAAATATACCACTTCTGTTGTAAAAAAAGATGTCGTCTTGGAGATGACACAGTTGCACATGTATGATACTTTCTCAGACTGTATATTTATTAAAAAAAACTAAAAGAGTAAATATATTAAAAATACAACAAGATAGAATTTTCATGAGAAATCTGCTAAGATAAGTCCCGCGTTCCCCTAAAAAGTGTAAGTTTCACATTTTTAAACCCTGCCATTTCTGTATATATATTAGTGATATAAGATTTCAAAGGTTTCACGACATGCATTCTAGGACATCATCCATTTGAGAACAGAAATAGTTTCAGGCTTTCAGCTATGTTTCCTCATTAACTCTTTGACATTTTAGATAAACTGGCCGATACACACAATCAAACTCATGGCACTGGCAAGCTGGTATGAACATAATCAAACTTGGATAAGATTAAGTTCAAAGGCAGAAGAACGCATGGGATGCCCTTAGGAGTGATAGGCATACCGACATAGAGCTTTTGTCCTTGCTATCCAAGTTAACAGGTTTTACCCAACACTGCCTTTACATTACATGCTACTACGAAATACATACCTGAATAAAGAAGGCATACCGAAATTGCATCAGAAGGGGGGATGTCCGAATTTACCCAAATACTATACAGTTGCCAATTGGTACCACTTGCTCACTTGCTTCACACATGGAGGGCAGTTGGCTACAGCGACATGCTGTGCTGCTGGAGCCACTCCTGAATAGCAGAACGCAGTGCGCGATTCGGAATGAGCTCCTCATGTTCAAGTAGCAAGTTGGTCATTGGAGACGTGTCATGGCCATTGCAGAGCCAACTCCTGATTGCCTCAGCTTCATAGGTGAATCCATCTGCTGCAATGTGAGGATCATCCATGATATCCTGAAATTGTGACCATGGTAGGTAATAAGGTGATGATCAGTCATCAAGCAAAAACTAGAAGGCAGCATTTTTCAGCAAAACAAAAGAAGTAACACATTTGGTTTTTACCATAGATTTGCACTTCTTCAGTATTATTTTCTAGCTATTCCATTCACATGTGCCAGAACAAGGGGAAAAATCTGGTGATTGTTTTCTACTTACCTGAGATATAGGACAGATGAAATATGACGGTGGACTGTTTTGATCCTGTGCTGATCTAGAGGATGAAGGTGAAGATAATGCAGCATCCCTTATAGCCTCAACTATTGCCCACACCTCACCTGAAAGATCAGGGCGGCACCTCCTGCTTAACTCAGTGCATCTGAGAGCAAGGTATGCCAGCTGCTCGATGTGCAGATGAGGCCACTCTCCCACTGAGGTATCAATTACTGAGTTCAAGTCACCTTTCTCCATTGCATCCTCCACGATATTCTTTATACCAACAGGAGGCTTTCCTGTTAAAAGACGCAAGACTACAATACCAAATGAATAAACATCAGACTGAGGTGTCAACTCTCCAGTGGAAAGAAATTCTGGGTCCATGTACAGAGGGGTGCCCACAGGATGCATGGTGCGGTACAGGGTGGTGTTATTGGTGCTGGACTGGATTAGGAGGCGAGAAATACCAAAGTCACTAAGCTTACTGACTAAGTTAACACCAAGGAGAATGTTAGCAGGCTTGAGATCTCCATGAACAACTGGGTGAGGTTTATTCTTATGCAGAAAGATTAGTGCTGAACATATCTCAGCAATAATTCGAATCCGAGCCTGCCACGTCAGAGTTTGCCTCTTATCTGAACACATAAGAAAATCTTCTAGGCTTCCATTTGGCAGGAACTCGTATACGAGTGTTGAAGACTCTGAGCAAGCTCCTAAGAGAGTCACAAGGTGAGGGTGTCTCACTCTACTGAGGATAGAAACCTGCAAGAGAATCCAAAAGAAGCCACTCAATTTCTACTTCTCATTTTGAACTAGAGAGGAGCCAGAGATCAACTCCCTTTTCCAGAATGACAAAGATAACAAACAAATTTTAAAAGGGTACACTAATTACCTCTTGTTCGAACTGTGATTGTCCCTGTAAACTATCAGGTCTCAGCACCTTTATTGCAACTGTCATGTTCCGGAGGATACCTTTGTATACGCAGCCAAACCCACCTTCTCCAATCTTCAATGAATTACTAAAATTTTCTGTTGCAGATTCCACTTCAGATGATGAAAATTCACAGTGCATCGCTGTAACCAAAACTGAAAGCATCTGTCCTCTTTTCTGACGTAGTTCTTCAACCTCTCGAACTGCATTATCTCGTTCACGTAGCAATTGGTCATGCTCAGATAGAAGCCATTCAAAATGCTCTCTGGAGTCTGAGAGTTGACCTAGTAGATTCTCATTCTGCTCATTGACTCTCTGAAGTTCCACGGTGACCTCATCTTGCTGTATTTTAAGTTGTTCAAACTCTTGTTGTACCCTTGAAAGAGATTCCTCTGTTTCTTTCCTTTGTTGGACCTGGCTTAAATACAAATCTTCCAATGTCCTGGCCTGCACAAATCAAGTAGCTGTCATTCGTATCATTTAGACAGATACCTTGATTTATGACTTCATTCAATAGCTTGTGACATCCTGGATTTTTTTTTTAAGGAAAAAACTGTTACTGAAAAGTACTTTCATATGGCAAGTGCTGGTTTGAATGCAGAGATTGGGATTTGGCAAATTGGTAGTAGTAGATACAGTGGCAATGATCTGCTCAAGCTTGCCTATTTCTTGGAATTGTAGCAGCACCAACATTAGATGTGAATGTTGTTTTGCACTCTATAGAATCAAATGGTCCACAACAAGAAATGATTGGATGATGATACCTCTCCGGTCAAGCTAACCTTTTTGCAAAGATAATCATAATAATGCACTGGCTGTTTAGAGAAACCGTAATGAATTTACCAATCGTTCAGATTCAATCCGCTTTAAGCGCTCGTCGGATGCTTCCTTCTTCAACACCGCAGCTTCATCCATGCTTTTTTGAAGTTTATTACACAGATCATCATTCAAATGCAAATCTCCCTGCAAGGATCATTTATAAGATAATATAATTTAATAGCTAGCAGGGTTTTGATGAGCAATGCATTAGCATCACAGAACTTATTTGTCAGTTTTCACTCATAAAGCTACTTCCTAAGCTTAATTATGCTTGAGCACGGTGCTAGTCAAGTTCCAGAATCCAGATTTGTAACAGGTAATCATGGATGACTTGTTTAAAAAAAAGTAACTAAACTGACCAGTATCTCTCTCAAGTCCTCTGCTCTAGAATCACCGCCATTAGCTCTTTTAATGCATGCTGCACATCTACATTGACCAAACACATAAGTTACTTGAAATAATAATAACAGCATCACTGATGATAGCATTGGACTGAAAAGGGCTACCTCCTTAAGCCATCAAGAACTTCGAGGTTGTTTGGGTCACACTTCAAACCCTCTACATAAGTTGCCAGAGCAATTTCATAATTGCCCATAAGTAACTGAACTTTAGCTTTACGCAGATAGCCTTTCAGAAAAGTAGGATCCAACGCTATGCATTTATCTGCATCTTCAAGACCTTCAGGCAATGCTCCTAGGTAGATGTGGCATTGGGCTCTGTTGCTAAAAACCTGGGCAATCATCAGTCATTAAAAGGTATAAAAATATCAGTACCAAAACTAAAAAGGGGCAGCTTGAGATATAGTTTTCACTAAGGGAAAAAAAAAAGCATTAACTTGTTATACAACCAGTGTAATAGTGTAAATCAATACCCTGGGATCTTTTGGGTTCTTTTTCATGGCTTCAGTATAGTGCATTGCTGCTTCCTGGTACCTTTTCTGCTTGAAGAAATCGTTGCCTGCAACATGTGTACACAGTGAGAAGAAGCATACGTACATTACAATTGCATGACATACCTAGTGTATTACAAACTAGGAGCTGGTTATTATATAATGGTTGAAGAAAAGGGACCCCTATCCAATTTATTGTGTTACTGCACTTCCATTCATGAACAACCATAACATTTTTTCCGCACTTCTCTGAGTCTCCAACTCACAACTGAAGTTAGAATTAAAACTATTGAGAGTGATATTCTACTTTAATAGTATGCTTTCTTCTTGCAAATTTGAAGTTTACTCATGGAATCTCCTAGAACTCCAGCCTAGAGTACTTGACAGTTGACACTCAACGGCGATGCTTTGGAGCAATATCTGATAATACAGCATACAGTCAACGAGGTGCTAGGCAAGGGAAGTTAGCTGGACACCTACCTTGTACAAGGCTACTTCTACACTCTTTGCTTTTAATAATGGATAGGTAGTGCTCCTGCCAAATTATTTATTTAAAAATGGGTAAGGATCCTACATGAACAGGAATAGCATGTAACAAATGTGTATCTGTTCCAATTGAGTGGCAAATTGACAATTGAAACAACACCAACAGCATTAGATGATCGGTGCACAGCAATCAATTTCTATTTTAATCTTACACATTGCACTAATCGACAACAACACATAGAAAAGAACAACGTTTCATCTGGAAAAAAAGAAATGATCAAACCTCTGTCTCGGTGGTGATCGGCAGCTTCCTGATCAAGCCGCTCCCGCTCCTCAATCTCCTTCCTGGCTTCCTCCGCCTCGCCCAGCTTGGCGAGCGTCTCCTCGCTGTAGTGCTCGGCCAGCGACTGCTGCAGCGCCCTGATCGCCGGGTCGTAGTCCGCGGCGCAGGCGGCGAGCTTGAGCAGCGCCGACGCCTTCCTCGCCAGCGCCCGCGCGACCAGCTTGTTGTCGGCGCGTAGCTCCCGCCCCTTCTCCACCGCCTCGTCGCAATCCCTCACGCACTCCTTGTACTGCAACGGAGAAACCAATCGCCATCGCCGCGAGGTTAAACAATCGGAGAGAGAGGAGGGGTTTGGGGGCATGGCTGAGACTGAGAGCCTGACCTTGGACATGAGGAGGTAGGCGGCGGCGCGGTTGGTGAGGAAGGAGATGTCGCGGGGGTCGAGGAGGGCGCCGCGGGTGTAGTGGCGCACGGCCGTCTCGAGGTAGAGCTTGCGGTAGGCGGCGTTGCCGGCCTCCTTCTCCCGCCGCGCCTCCGCCTCCGCCTCGGCTCGCTCGTCGTCCTCCGCCTCCATTGCTGCGACGCGCGCCTTCTACGGGAGCAGCAAATGCATATCGGATCGCCCTCGGCGGCGGTGGCGGTGGCGGTGGGCTAGTTGTCGAGGGGGGATGAGGAAGAGGAGGAGACTTGACCGTAGCTGCATTATTGACGCGGCGGTTTGGCTTGGGCACGGCCGCACGGCGCGCGGCCAACCGGAACGGAGGAATCTTCTCCGAGACTCCTCAGTCCTCACGGGTGGTGTGTGTAGTGCGATGCCACGAGTCGGGGCTTGGGCTACGCAGCAACCTGCAGGTGGGCTGGGGCTGGCTTGCGAGTGGTCACCTCGTGTGAGGGCACGTAGACGTACAGTCAATTTCTGATCAAAATTTTATGGGACAATTGCTTATTTGACTCTGTTTTGAAGCCTAACTACCAATTTGACCCTACTTTTTGAAAATGAACACTCCGTCTGACCCTGTTTCTACAACACCGTTAAGAGTTCATTTAAAAAAAGAGAAAAAATAAAATCACATTTCATAATGACTAAAATACCCTCCAACTGTATCCTCATCTAACCCTTTTCTCTCCCGGTCTCTCTATCATATCCTGCGAGTGGTCACCTCGTGTGAGGGCACGTAGACGTACAGTCAATTTCTGATCAAAATTTTATGGGACAATTGCTTATTTGACCCTGTTTTGAAGCCTAACTACCAATTTGACCCTACTTTTTGAAAATGAACACTCCGTCTGACCCTGTTTCTACAACACCGTTAAGAGTTCATTTAAAAAAAGAGAAAAAATAAAATCACATTTCATAATGACTAAAATACCCTCCAACTGTATCCTCATCTAACCCTTTTCTCTCCCGGTCTCTCTATCATATCCTGCGAGTGGTCACCTCGTGTGAGGGCACGTAGACGTACAGTCAATTTCTGATCAAAATTTTATGGGACAATTGCTTATTTGACCCTGTTTTGAAGCCTAACTACCAATTTGACCCTACTTTTTGAAAATGAACACTCCGTCTGACCCTGTTTCTACAACACCGTTAAGAGTTCATTTAAAAAAAGAGAAAAAATAAAATCACATTTCATAATGACTAAAATACCCTCCAACTGTATCCTCATCTAACCCTTTTCTCTCCCGGTCTCTCTCTCTCTATCATATCCCTTTTCTCTCCGGCGAGGGAGCTATGGCGGGGAAGGTAAGCGGCAGAGCCGGCTGGTGGAGGGAGGGACCACCGGCGGCGGCGGCGGGCCATGGAGGGAGGGGATCCGCGCCGGCGCCAACTCGCGGAGGGAGGGCGGCTGCGCCGGTGTGGATCGGCGGCGGCGCCGGCTGATGGAGGGGGGGAGCACCGGCGGCGGCAGGGGGCCGTGGAGGGACGGGATCCACGCCGGCGTCAACTCGCGGCGAGAGGGCGGCTACGCCAAGCACGGATCCACGGCGGTGCCGCTGGTGGAGGGAGGGAGCACCGGCCGCGGCGGCCGGCCGTGGAGGAAGGGGATCCGCGCCGCCGTCAACTTGTAGAGGGAGGGCGGCTGCGCCGAGCGCAGATCTGCGGCGGTGCCGGTGGAGTTTCGACCCATAGGAAGTCCACCCCTGCCGCTTCCAGCCCGCCAGCGAGGGGGAGCTCGTTGTCCAGGCCAGGCAGAGCGGGCCGATGGCATGGCTGACGCCGGCACAGGCGCTCGTATGGAGGGAGGAGGTGGCAGCGGCAGCGCCGGATCCGCCGACTGCAGCTCGAGATCCACCGCCCGGACTCGCCGCCGCCACTCCTCCTCCTTGTCGTCGTCACCAGGGCCGGCGCCGGCTCGCCGTCTCGACTTTCGCCGCCTCTCCCTGTGGTGGATCCGTGGAGGAGAGGAGAAGAACTCGCAGCCGCCACTCCTCATCGTCATCACTAGGGCCGGCGCCGGCTCGTCGTCCGTCTCTCCCTGTGATGGATCCTTGGAGGAGAGGAGAAGAGAGAAGAAAGGATTGGAGAAGATAGAACTGACGGCAGGGTCCCAGATGTAATAGGGTCAAATAAGTAAGGGCAGAAGAGATATTTTGGGCGAGACATTTTGGGCTTCAGTTAACACCATTAGACGCCCTTAACGGAATAGCGTCATACCGTGTCTTCAATTTTGAAAAGGAGGGTCAAATAAGCAAACCCTAAAAAGTAGGGTCAAATTGGTAGCTAGAGTTCAAAACGGGGTCAAATAAGCAATTGCCCCAAATTTTATTTATCGCTTTTGCGCATCCGCTTTATGCACAGAACACACACCACCTTTCTCAGAACGCACCACGCCACCACCTTTCACCTTTCTCCTCAACGGCAAAGCCGCCTTTGCCGTCGCCCCGTGATCGTACAAAGTAAAAAGTATAGCCCACTACTAACTCTAAATCATCTATAGCCAATATAATAGTTAATTTATACAATAGTTGCTTACTATACAATTAATATCTAGTCTCACCTGTCATATACACATTACGTGCTGGAATCCGTGCTACAGCTGGCTACAAATCTGTAGCCCGCTGCTTTTTTCTCTGTTACTTTATCCCTTTAAAATATGTTTATAGCTGACTTATAGCCTGCTATTGTACATGCTCTTATAAAATATAAAATAGAAAATTAACAAGCCCTTCAATATAAAAAAACAAAGGCCTTGTTAACTTTGTTACTATTTTTAAACCTACCACCATTTAATAATACCAAATTGTTTGGACGCTTTCAGTTTAATGTTTTAAAAACAATTAGTAGTGTTAAGATTTAGTAGGGTTGTGTCGACATGGAAAACACGCAATTTTGGTTGTTAACAGGTTGAAAATGTAAATAACTAAACATGCAAAAAAAAAAGTAAGAATGCATGTGGACTCCTTTGACTGCTCGCTGACTTGTGAATGCAACCAAAAACTATGTTCAAAATTAATTTATGTGTTTTTGTGTCATTTTTATTTTCTAGCCTTGTTTTTAAGCCGCTACAAGTAGAAGTATAAAAGTTCAATACCATAATAATTTTGTTGCTTCGTGTATTTTCTCTGTAGTTTATTGTTGTAGTTTAACCAGTTTGTGTAAAATATTTCCACATAGTACAACGTATTCTACATGTCCTCCTCCCCCTCCCCCTCCCCCCCAACAAAAAAAAAGTGAGCTTTTTATATTCTTCCACTCTGGTTATATGATTTTTACTCCCTCCGTTTTTTTAGATGACGCCGTTGGCTTTTTCTCACATGTTTGACCATTCGTCTTATTCAAAAATTTTATGCAAATGTATAAGATATAAATCAAACTTAAAGTGCTATGAGTGATAAAACAACTCATAACAAAATAAATTATAATTACGTAAATTTTTTGAATAAAACGAATGGTCAAATATATGAGAAAAAGTCAACGGCGTCATCTATTAAAAAACGGAGGTAGTATCATTTTTCTATAATTTTTTAGGCTCTCCTTATTTTGTTTGACTTTCTTTTAGTTCTTTTTAAGTCAGAGGAAGTGTCGAACGAGGAAAACACATGAGTGGCAGATAAGAACTGCAGCTTCCTGAGACTAGAGAGGTAGAATAGATAGTACGGACAAATGGAGTGGCAAAATCAAGATTTCCCATTTAAAATATAACAAATAATTATGTTAACAAAATTACAACAAATACTCTATGACTAATATAATAAATTTTAAATGAATAAATCAACATACTATTAAGAATTCCATGCAAAATTAGTGAGAGGTTTTATCAATACTTTTTTTTGTCTTTTAGGTTGAATTTAAGGATGTGTGCGGTGTATGCAAGAGGTTCTGAATTATACGCGACAAAATGGGTCAGGCTGAGTCGTGTTGGCCCAGGCATGGTTAGTTGGTCCAAACAGAACATGTCACACTCGCCCCTGCGGGTTATGCTGACAGTGACACGGCATGGCTCGGCCATTGCACCAAAATTTCCTCCTATTTATTTTTCATTATTCCCTCCTTTCTCTTTATTTTCCATTTACTATATTTTAGAATTTTTTTCCGTATATCCAAATTTTAGATGTTGCTCCCTCCGTTTCATACTATAAGACGTTATAGCATTATCCAAATTCATATATATGTTAATGAATATAGGCACATATATATATTTAGATTCATTAACATATATATATATATATATATATATATATATATATATATATATATATATATATATATATATATATGAATGTGGATCATACTAAAAGATCTTATAATATGAAACAAATGAAGTAATGGATTTGCTTCCGCCACGTGCCATATTTGGGTCTATACTGGCATGGTCCATGGTCTTTTTGGCCATGCCTAGGTCTCAGCGGTGGGCCGGTGAGGCACGACCCATTGTAGGAGCGGTGTTTTTAAAAGTTGTGCCGTGCTATCGGTGTGTATATTTATATTTAGAATACAACTTATTATTTGTGCAGGTCTACATATATATGGTGAAAAAAAGAAATACTTCCTCAGCCAATAATTTGACATTTAGCACACGATTTTTTCAAACTTTTAAAATTTTAGCCATCAACTTTATTATATAAAAATAAGCTTATAAAATCAAATAATTTTGCGATATTATGGTAGCACTTTTTAGAGAAATCTACAGGTATTACTCCTTTTATTTTGAAGTAAACATTTACGAAATTTGGTCGTAATTTTGTTCTTGCAATTAAATATTTATGGAGCAGAAGGTATACCGCTATACCAGTACTAGGCCTGTGGACTCGGTTGTGCGGTTGCACCGGATATTCTGCTCCGGCATAAAATCACCAGTACACACACTCCCCGCCGGCCGCGGCCACCAATTAGTTTTCCGATGGCTATGTATGCATGCGCACGCGGAGCTCGCGCGCAGAGGATCGATGCTGCCGAGGAGGGCCATGGGGGTGGCGCTCACCCTCGCGCTGACCGCCATGTGGCCTCCGCCGCGGCTCGCGGCCCCCGCCACTGGTGGTCACGTGACCGTCACGGCGAGGAAGCCGCGGGGTCGGCGGCTCAGCGGTAAATCCACCACCACCACCACCACCGCTTCACTCGGCTGCGGCTCCAAGCCAAACAACATCCGCGGCGCCACCGCCGCAGCCGGCGGAGGGAGCAAAATGGAGGCCGCCGCCGCCGTCGCCCCCTCCGGTCTCCGGGCGAGCTTCCTCGACGTCCTCCTCAGCCGCCGTCGTAACCTCCAAGGTCTCCCTGTCCCTCTGTTTTCTGGATTAGTGCGCTCAAAACTACAGGAATTTGCTATTGGCATTCGGATTAGGTGTGCTGATTAATGCCTTGGGTTTGGATTTGTTGGCGGCAGTGGCTCTCACGGTGGAGCCCGGGAGCCCGGTGAAGCGCCCGCTGTACCAGGGGAGGCCGCCGATGGGGCGGAGCGAGGTCAGGATCCTCAATTGGAACAATGATCTATCTGTCTATCTTGTGTTTGTGTAGGAGCGTGGTGATTGGTGTGGCGTTGGTTCTTCTTATCCATGCGTGGAAAATTTCAGGCCATGGAATCGTGCCCGAGGAAAGGGGTGGTGAACTCCAAGGAGAAGTTGGTTGAAGAAAATTTCTACCTGATTACTGAGGTACATGACCACATTGCTTTCTTCTTTGTGATGCATTTGAAGACATATGGAACCATGTGGAAGCCATTTTTTATTTATTTGAGCTAGCCGCCCCAAGAGATTGTGGTAGAACAACACTAAAAGTATAATGGATTACAAAAGGTTGACTGTGATTTTTGTTGCTTAAAATTCTAGAGAGATAGTTACTGTGGTTACTGTCTCAATATGTACCTTTCACTACCAACTCTGTTGGATAAATATCTATGAAATTCACGAGTTTCGCTTATGGGGGTGAAAAATACATCGTTATTCTGCCACGATTCTTCCTGGAAAGGCTACACATGGACAATTTGATAGTTTATATTATGTTTTATTGTGACATCCAGGTTCACATGCACTCTTATGTACCTACATTATATAACCTGGAAGGCAATGCACATTGGATTCATTCATCATCTCATTTCCTAAGTCAGAGAATTTGATATTGTTTCCCCCAACAGTCAGGTGAACAAGGGCGTGTACCTGTGCTTCTTCTGAAACTTAACGATACAACCCCTAAAAGAAAACCAGTTATTGTATTCCTGCACAGCTCATATAAATGCAAGGAATGGCTGCGTCCACTGCTTGAGGTAAATATCTCCTTATTTGTTGCTTTAGAAAAAAAAAAGCCTCTTACTGAATTCTGCCACAATGCTTTGGACCATCACTATATCGTACACGCATATCTATTTTGAATTTGACGGTTTCCCGTTTGCAGGCATATGCCTCCAGAGGCTACATTTCTGTTGCCATCGATTCTCGCTATCACGGTGAAAGGGCCAACAATAACAGCACTTACATAGATGTAATATGCTGAAGATCCTTTCTATGTACCATTTGGTTCCATGAATGTTTGAAAATTCCATTAACACTTATTATTTGACTTGATTCCTGCTTTCATGGTTTTAAACTTAGGCACTAAAATCAGCTTGGAGGAATGGGGATGCAATGCCTTTCATTCTTGACACGGTACCCTACGTTACTGCCATTCTGTTATATAACTGATGACTTTGCCCTTCTTAAGCTTGTCATTCAAATTGTTAATTAACCTGTATATTTGTTAAAATAAGCAAATGGTTGTGTATCCAAAATATTAAATCAGACTGTAGGATATGCTGTAAATTTGGGCTGGTCTGCCTCTGTTCATGGGTTAAAAGTCATGGATGCTGGTGTTAGCCCAGATGAAATAGCTTCAGCACGCTCTACTTTTCCCTTGAATCCTGGATTTTCAATTTTGTTTTGCTTCTCTCAAACAATTGTTTCTGATGTTATGATCTGATATATCATAGTTTGAACATGATACACAGATGCAGTGATAAGCTGTCATATTTCACGATAGATCTATTTTCAATAATGTACCTTAAACCAGATTTGGACATCTTCAGGTGTGGGACTTGATAAAGCTTGGAGATCATCTCAGTGAACGGGAGGATGTTGATCCCTGTAGGATTGGGATTACCGGTGAATCACTTGGAGGTATTGTATATCATGAATTCATGATTGCCTTATATTGAGCTAGCATATGGACTCTGCTGTTACTAACTAATATGTAATTCAAACTGAATCAGGAATGCATGCATGGTTTGCTGCTGTTGTGGATACACGGTATAGTGTTGTTGTTCCTATAATTGGTGTTCAGGTATGCTGTTTCAGTTAAAATATATCGATGTGGAAAGAAAGTTTTGTGGGTTGTTTTTAGCTATACTCCCTGTGATAACTCTAGGGATTTCGATGGGCCATAGATAATAACAAGTGGCAAGCTAGAGTTGATAGTATCAAACCTCTATTTGAAGGTGAGACTCCACTCATAATCTCTTGCCTATTTGAGAAGTTGGGCTTGTGCCAGTGAAATAAATAGACTGATGTTGAAATATATTCTCTTAATTTGGTAAGGTTGCATGTAAATGTTTATGTTTCTTTTACCCTGTCCGTTTTCTGCAGAGGCAAGAATTGATCTAGGGAAGAGTGAAATAGATACAGAAGTTGTAGAAAAGGTGAGTACTTGGATTTATTTTACTGTTATTCCTGATGAGTCCTTTATGAGCATTTCGTTTTCGTTATTGTGTGTTAACATATCTCTGCCAGGTGTGGGACAAGATAGCACCTGGTCTGGACTCACAATTTGATGCGCCCTTTTCACTCCCTGTAATTGCACCACGGCCACTTCTCCTCCTGAATGGTAAGCCAATCACTTCTGACTGAATGCAAAATCAGTATGACTGACTAAATGAAAGCTAGTTACAACATTAAGGTATAAAACAGTGATATTTCAAGATTGTTCGATACAGGATTCATAAGCTGTAAAACAGTGTCTCACTTTTGAACTTTTCCCTTTATGCATTCAACCAGTACCCGTGTAAGGGTTGCAACCTTGAGTGTGCAGTACTTTTTTGAACCAAAGAAAAAGTGTACTGTCCATTTTGGTTTTGTGATGAAGCTAAAACTGTTGTTATCTATTGATAATTCAAAAAAGAATGTTACTTCGAATGTTTCGTGCTGCTTGAACTTCATTTATCATGCAGGTGCTGAAGACCCTCGATGCCCAGTACTTGGTTTACAGGAACCTGTTTCCAGAGCTGCTAAGGCTTATGAAGAAGTTGGTTCTGCAGATAAGTTCATGGTAACACGCACTTAAACTGTCCTTTTTGCCCTTATTTTAAGATCACTTATGAATCCTTTTAATTAGCATTTATTAAAATGGGATTTTGTTTCAATGAACTTAGCTTTCAAGCTTGTTTCCTTCCTTGTCAGTATGAATGGCTAAGTCTAAACATGCCAGATAATTTATTGGTATTATGAATCTACAACACATCTTTGTGAGGTTGGCATTGAAGAAGTCTTTTATACTGAAAAAAACAAAGTGTTCTTTCTTCTGAGTTAAAGTTGTAACTCAGCATGCACAGCACTAAAGAGCACAGACCTTCAGCATCTGATAAAAAGTTTTTTATAACTGCACTCTATAATATGGTTAAAAATTATTTTGAGCTTAAAGTCATAATTGAGTAACTTTAAACAATAGAAGATGATGAAAATGACAGAAATTTGTGTAGGGAAATTCAAGAACAAGATCACAAAACACAGTTTTTGGTGCTGCAAACCAGCAGCTTTGCTGATTGTAGATTCAACTATAAATAGAAATGATTACAAAGTGAAAATGACAGTGGCCACCTCGCCTCCTACTTGCACGCGCCACGACCCATTGCCACATCGTGCCATCCCACGATCCTGAGCACGGGACGCATGACTCAATGGACTCCGCTCAGACGCAGCGTGCATCAAACCCACTCTGCGCACTTCTGAAAATAACCCAGCCATGCACTAGACCAAAAACAGATCAACGAGTGGAGAGAAAACAAAGCGAAATAACTAAACTTGGGAGCAGCTAGAGTTATTCTATCAGAAAAACTAAATATGCCCCCCCCCCCTACCCCCATAACTGATGCATGCAGATTGTTTTTAAGGTACAGTATGTTGGTGCTTGTTTAAACAAAAAATATCAGCCTTTTACATCCTTACTAGGAGTATATTCATGTATGTAAGCTGGCATATTCTTCGAAACAATTTTTCGGGTTCAGTATCCGTTTAAAAATGTCTCTGCTCCCATCGCAAATAAAAATCTTGGTTCAGTACATGATTGATTACTGTTGATAGCCAATAGAGAAGTGAAGTACTGTGAGGAACCTGCTTGAGGTCTGGACCTCTATATGTGTTTATTATCTGAAGACTGCCTTCTGTTATGAGCTAAATAAATGCTGCTCTGGAACTATGGCTTTTATGGCAATAGGGTGCCCACATACTGGAGTGCTTGGAGTTCAATACTTTAATGTAGTAATCATTGCCTCTGATGATGGATGGTTGATGCCTTCGTTCGTGTAGATTGCTCCAACCTTTGCATCTCTTCCTTTTACATTTCTACTTTAAGTGCTTTATGCCAACAATTTATCTTCCTCGTCTATATGACAAACAACTGATTTGGTTGAGCCCAAAGTAACTGGAAACTTAAGATTTAGCTTTGCTTTTACCATTAAAGAACTAAAAGGGGAACTGTTGAGTTGCTAATCTATTTCTCCACTGTTCAGTTCATTGCAGAGCCAGGAATTGGCCATCAAATGACAGCGAACATGGTGAAGGAAGCAAGTGATTGGTTTGATCGCTTCCTTTAGAGGGTTATGTATATGTTCCGAATACTCTTATTATACCACATCGTGAGGGAAAGGCATACTCTACAACAAGTTGTCTCAGTTTATAATTGCTTATATTGAATATATGACTGGAATCGATTCAATTTCATCACCATCTAATTTGTAGTCTACATACCCTAATAATTGCCAAAGGAGAAACATTTTGTAGCATGTAGGCATTTCACAGTTTGAGAATACAGAAGTTGGGAGGAAGATTATTTATCTGTCAAGGTTCTGATGAGAAAGACTGATAGTAGACTATTGCTCTGAAGTGCTACTAGAGCAAATCTAAACTGGTACAAAATTTTGTTAGTGTGCACATAAAACCATGTAGACTAGAGAATTGAGGCATCGTGATCAATAGATTATGTTTGGATCAATTAAACTATATATTCTGCAGAAATATTTTATTTCTTGTTTCTTGCAGTGTAACAGAAAGAAAATCCCCATGATCCTGCTTATTAACCAGTGTCCAGATTCTTGATGACATGTCAACCACGCCAATCAAGGGCTCAAGGCCAGTCGGTCCCCTAATCTGGTTTACGTGGACCCAAATACCCAATAAAGCATCTCACTATACTGGCCATGTAGCCACGTGTGTAGTGCGATGATATAGAACCGTCGTTTGCACTTTGTTGCCTGCAGGCTCGCATCCTCTGCTAGCAAGCCCGTGTCCAAAATCTGAATTTAAATTGATTTTGAGTATTTTTCATCGTTATCTATTCTCTAGTCTTGACTTTAAACCGTGAATAGTACAGATATAAAAATTTTTAGACATAATTTCTGTTTTCGTTCGTTTACATTTCCATGGCTTATCAGCCATAGCTCAATTAAAATCAGAGTATAACTCATAAATCGGTGTAAATGTGTAATGTGCATTTCTAGGATTGTTGTACTCTTTTGGCAGTCAATAAAAAAATAGTGAGAAATAAGTGGGACAGCAGTGGCTTTTATGAAGGTTCGTGTTATAAGTACCAAAATATTATAAGTTTATAACCTTTTGAACCCATTTGAGTTGAGATATTCCTGTAGAATTTTCCCTAAATGTCTCACAGTTTCATTTCATAATGCATGTAAAATTCCAAGTTTGGCAAGGGTGTAGGGCAGTTTCCAGATGACCACATACTACTGTCCTGGCAATACAAAGATTTGCTCTTGGGAGTAATATACATGAGAAAATATATTTATCATGAGAATAGTGTGGCCTAACCAATGATCTTATGATGCCAACATTCCAACGTTTTCCATCCACACATGCATGGTGAGAAACACTACAATATTGTGTCAAAAATAATATATGAAAAATCGAACGGTTGATGAAGAATAAGTTGGCAGGTCATGCTCACTCGTTCTTCCTCTTCTTCGGAGTAGGCGATGTGTCACTTTGAAGCATGGACGTCTCCGGGTAACGGACGGTTTTCATATAGCGTGTTCGTTGCTAGGTCATTTTCCGGCTAAACTTAAATTAATTTTTTTTTCTGGAAGAGACTATTATAATGTTTTCTGTGGTTCTGTGACGTCCATTAGTCCAAAAAATTAATTAACGATGTTTGTTGGTGTCTCGTCTCATTTGAGCTGACCATAATATACGCTGATATTCTTCATTCCGTCATCCACCTGTAAGATGATATTTCAAAGTACAGTTACACATGCTTTTTCATTCCGGCTACCTGTAATTCGTAAGATGATATTCCAAAGTACAGTTACACATGATTTGGCCAAGAGATATGGTCAGCATATGGGCATTTATTTTTTTAAAAAAGAAAAACAAAAGGTATAAGCTCATCTTATCTGATTGTAAGTTGTAACACAGAAGAGGAAACACAAAGCCAACCCAACAAGAAGGACACATCAAAATTTGAAAATGCCGCGACCCAACAAGTAAAAGGGTAAACATCAAAGGTATATAACCATTTTTTTCCTTTTCTTAATATTAAAAGGCTACAATTTGGGGCTGCACTAATCCATCCCGAATTTGTTAGAAATACATTATGCGAGAATTTTCCATATTATAAACTCCCTCCAGTCTAGTTCTCTAGATGTCAAATATATTTAACTAGAGTTTCTTTTCTTCTGAACAAACATTAGACCTTGCTTGGAATGGGGGATATCTTTTCTCGATTCCTATCTGTTTCAGTAGACAGCCCTATGCTCCAAGCTGACCCATGCCCTTCAGCCCTTCACAGAGCCATCACTACACGAGTTTAATTAGCATCTATCTTTTCAGAATTGACTTAACTATATATCGTTGTTCTTCTGTACCTCTGAATTTCTCTGCTAATTCCCATCATAATCCATGCTGCTGCTGCTACTCTCCATGAATCCATGATGTTTTTGAGCCTTACTCATGGGAGATACAATGGCGTTGTGTGTGTGTGAGAGAGAAAGGGGCATAGTCTGGATCGACAAAGGTACAAACGGCCATGACCGACACACAACGATAGCAAAACTTTACCAAAAAAACGATTCCAACCAGGTAAAGACGTTCACATATCGCTGGTACATGATTATTGGAGTTTATTAATTGGTTCGTATCAATTCACGGCTCTATTTTCACGTACCAGCAAAACAGAAATGTGGTACGCTTTGCACATGCGATCTTTCAAAAACACTATGCACACATGTGAACTGATAAATGGCCGTCCAAATCCTTTTAGAGAGAGGTGTCCATTCATTTTGTATAGACTTTTTTAGCACAATCAACTGAATTGCCAAAAAGTACTACTTCTATCTCATAATATATCAACATAAAACCGGATTGAACACAATTTAATAGTATTAGATTATATCCAATCTAGTTTTAAGTTGCTATATTACTGGATGAATGGAGTAATTAATTAGTTAAGCAAATATATAGAGGGGACAAATACCTAACAGAAGGAAGCTATTGCCGGATAGAGAATTCTTGCAATTAACAACCACCCAAATTATTTGTTTCTTGTTTGGTTCATGCAAGCATCGTGAACGGGAATACACCCTTTGCCTCCTTTCCATCCAGCTTGTCCAAAGGAAACATGTCAACTTCATACAGAATCAGACGAGTAGCATGCAGTCCCTCTCAGCCCAAATCTCCCCATCGTATTCAATCGTCATTCTTCTCACCATTAATTTACCTCTGCATTACATGCAGATGCTCTTCTATGTATAAACTACCTGAATGCCCATCCTTTACTACGGATAAAGAATAAGAAATATTCACATCGATTTGATTTTATACGTGACTATCTAAATTGATTTTTAATAGAAAAAGTTTCGAGGGATAGTTTTAAAACTATAATGGGAGTATGTGGGTCAACAGATTCACTGTTATCACCACTATCTTCCTTTGAAGTGTAGTAGTATAAATACACAATTGCTCATACTCATCTCATCCTGTCAAACTAATGTCCAAATTAAATTAGGTGGCTTGGAGTGTAAGACTGTACTAGGCATTAAGTAGATTGATCAAGTACCCTAAAGATTGAAATTAAGGATATGACACCCTTAAAATCTTGGGCATAGTACTCTTATCATGTACTGTACCACAGTTGTGTTTGAGTACAAATAATTCACAGGAGTTAATGCTCTACATTAAATTCAAAGTTCTCAATATATTATCTCAAATTCTTAATCAGAGCCCTATCAGTCGATTTGTCGTTTAATTTCCAATGAATTTTGACAACATTTCAAACAAAAATGCATACCTCAAGCTGGCTTGACTCGTTCAATATCATAAAATTCGTCGAGATTATGAACGTTTGGTTGACTGCTAATGGCTAACGTTGTCAAATCTCACCTTAGACAAGGTACAGCTTGCCGTAAAAAGTGTGGCTGGGACCACACATTACACAATCTCTCGCAAAAACATGTCTTTGATGTATGGGACCTTGTGGTTGAAAAATACGGCTAATCGTAATAACTAGAATAGTTTCGTAATAAACTATGACATCAATGAAATGGTTAGGTAAGAAAATTATGTCCGTCTAAAATTTGGCTTGATAATTGGAGGCATCCAGATAGATACCCCTAAGGAAAAGGAAAGAGAGGCTGAAATGCCATTAAAAAAAGTGACTCGCGGAGCTGATGATCCAGAGTGACAGACAGTGGATGAGTGGAGTGGAGGTATAACGCAGACGGACATTCCCTTCTCCTCCCACCCCGTCGCTGCCGACACTCCAATAACCCAAACGGCGCCGTCAAAATCCTAACAACTAAAAATCCCATCCCCTACTCCCGCCCAAAACACCAACCACCACTCCCCCCACACACTACTCCCGCCACGTGGCACGCTCCCACTGGACCCGCCGTTTCCAACCGCCGCAGAAGATCCCGCGCGGAGGTTGCCGTCGCGTTACTGGCCTTCCCTTTTAGTGCCCCCCCCGGACACGAGTGCTCGCCTCTGCCGCGCCTGCGCCACCACCACCACCGTTCGTCCGCTCGCCGCGTCGACGAGCTCCTCCTCCGCTTCGCGCTTCGTGTCAGGTGCGTGTTCCAGCGCCGGATCGTCTCCGGCGACCGGTTCTTGCGGGAGTTCGGGGCTCGCGATGATCCCAAAACCCCGGGGAGATGTCAAGAACACCGCGTCTTGTTTTTTTTCTTTTTTTGGTTGTGGTTTTGTTTCTCTCTCTCTCTGCGCGTCTGATCGATCGCTCGCGTGTTGATGGTTTCTTAGGGTTTGGAGTGGAGTGGAGGGGGAAGGAAAAGGGGGAGGGATGATGCACGCGAAGTCGGAGTCGGACGTGACGAGCCTGGCGCCGTCGTCGCCGCCGCGGTCGCCGAAGAGGGGCGGCGGCGTGGGCGTGGGCGGCGCGAACTACTACGTGCAGAGCCCGTCGCGGGAGTCGCACGACGGCGGGTACAAGTCGTCGTCGATGCAGGCGACGCCGGTGTACAACAGCCCGAACGAGTCGCCGTCGCACCCTTCCTACGGCCGCCACTCCCGCTCCTCCTCCGTCAGCCGCTTCTCCGGCACCCTCCGCGACGGCTCCCGCAAGGCCGGCGGCGAGCGCAAGGCGCTCAACGACAAGGGCTGGCCCGAGTGCAACGTCATCGAGGAGGAGGGCCCCTACGAGGACCTCGCCGGCGACACCGGCCTCTCCCGCCGCTGCCAGATCGTCCTCGGCTTCCTCTGCTTCGTCCTCCTCTTCACCGTCTTCTGCCTCATCATCTGGGGCGCCGCTCGCCCCTACGAGCCCGACGTCGTCGTCAAGGTATACTACTGCATTTTTTATTTTTTTGCATTAATTTACTTCTTGAACTGATGTAATGTCTCTACTTAATTTGGTTTGCTTCCCCCAATTCACATCGTGGATTGAAATGCCAAGTATACTTAATTGTGATGTTTGTGTCGCAGTTGCAGTTTGGGTGGAAACGGGTAAAGCTATTGAATTGATTGGTGGTTTGGTTTGACACTAATTTGGAAGTGATGAGGAATAAGAAAATAATGTAGTTTGTTTACTGGTTTTACATTTGTTTGATTACAGTTTACAGGTTGCTCTAACTAGATGGTAAAAATTGGGAATAAATTTGGTTGGTAGATAGGCTTTGGGAAGAATAGCTTCATTGAATATACAACAGTTCGAGTTGTTGCTTGTTTTGATTGAACCTAGCACATCAGCATATGTGCTTTACTCTCTTTGTGGTTGTGAAACCAAGTTATAATTGTTTCTGTATAATTAGAATTCTATAGCCGTAAAGTATAGAAAAGTGAAAACAACAGAAGCAGCTTTAGTCTCATTTTATATTAGTAATAAAATAAATATATTAATAGAAACAAAAAAAAATGACCCAAGAGCAAACTGGTTTCTTATTGTTCCCTGTCTGATAGAGATGTCGTTGGCTGCAGGCCTGCACCTGCATTCAGTATGTCTGACTGTTTGTTTCATTTCCTGACCGTTGCCCACTCCTTCAATAAAAATGAAATCGCCATAGAGTACTTAACATACATTTGTATTGTCCAGTAGTTTGGCATGGTAAATTCTTCATGTTGCTCAAAAGATTTTCAGAAATCTGAACCTGCTGGATTCCTCAAATGTGTTCTAGCCAGGAACTTACTGTACTTTTTGTTTTTCACAGAGCTTGACGATGGATGATTTCTACGCTGGTGAGGGCACAGACCACAGTGGGGTTCCAACCAAATTGGTTACACTGAACTGCTCTCTGCACATAGCTGTATACAACCCTGCTTCAATGTTTGGAATCCATGTCACGACGGGTCCTATTCGCCTTCTCTATTCAGAGATCTCTATCGGGGTTGGACAGGTATATCTATCAACAGTCATTGTTTTTTTTTGTAATACTTGTTAGTGCTGGCCATGTCTCTCTATCACACCTTATTTTTCTTTGAGAGAATTCTCTATCACAATTATTAATGCTGTCGATAAATTGTCTGGTAATGCTAATTCACTTTTTACCAAAAAAGTAAACTACATTACTGAATCTCCTCCTTTGCCTCTCCCTTTCACCACACATATAAAAGCTGAATTCAAAGTATTTAATCTGTTTTCTCTGCTGCTTTCAAAGCAATGTATTAGTGGAACATTTTCTTGTGCTCTTTCTCTGCTTAATCCATTTCTTTCCCTACGCATTGTATCAAAGGTCAACAAATTTCAAACTTTCAACTAGGCAAACAGTTATTTTTGAGTCAAGTGGGTAAAATACTAAAGCATATCATTACCATAGGGGATAAAAAAGGGGAATGAATTATTACGGCGATGAATATTCCGTACAGTTTCATAAGACAACAAAACAGTACGATAACTGGAAATGTTTTGGGAAACAAGACAATGAGAAACGGTCCAGAGATTCTTCTGTTCGCACTGTTTATCTGAATCCATGCTTGCGTTTCATATGCATGCAGTACATTTCTGTCTTTTAATGGTTTACCCAGAACCAAGAACTCATGATAAGGCCTGGTTTAGTTCCAAATTTTTTTTTTCAGAATTCCAACTTTTTCATCACATTAAAACTTTTCCTACACACATCAATTTTAATCAAACTTTCAATTTTGGCGTGAACTACTACCAGCCCACAAAACTAACAGCTAACAATTCTTTGTAATTTCAGGTTCGCAGGTACTACCAGCCGAGGAAGAGCCACCGGTTGGTGACGGCGGTGGTCCACGGCAACAAGGTGCCCCTCTACGGCGCCGGCGGCGGGCTGATGCTGTCGAGCTCCGGCGGCGCGGTGCCATTGACGCTGGACTTCGACCTCACCTCCCGGGGATACGTCATCGGCAAGCTGGTGAGGGTGACGCACAAGGTGCACGTGACGTGCCCCATCGTCGTCGACGCCAAGAAGACGAAGCCCATCAAGTTCTCCAAGAAGGCCTGCGCCGTCTACAAGATCTGAGAGGCCATCGTCGCCGCCGCCGTCGCCGGTCGTCGTCCATCACGCCGGCGGCGGGCGTCGCCTGCAGTGATCGATCGGCGACGGAGCCGTTCTTCTGTTCTTGCAGTTGTTGTATGTATTATGCTTGTGAAGAACAATAAGCGTTTATATGGTCACTTGTTAATTTTACTTGAGCTTCGATTTTGTTGATAAATCAGTAAATCACTTTGTATGGTAGTAGTGTTTTATTTTCTCTGCTTTCTTTCTTTCCTGAGGAAACTATGTACCGAAGTGTGGTACTAGAGTCAGTCTAGATGGTTTTACGTTAAAGATCACCATGTTTACAGTTTCGCATGGACAATCACTGCATTTTGTTTTGAACAGAGCATATTAAACAGCAAGCAAAAATCGTGTTTCTTTTCACCTCAAGAAATGGTACAAACCTGTCTTTCAAGGATTAATAATCTTCTATGGCACTGAAATTTTGCAAATTATTTCATGTCAAAAATATAATGTGATATTAGTAAGGTTTTGTGTAATTTGGATGATCCTTGGATCCAGCGCCCGTTGACTCCCCGTATAGACAAGAGAAGTGCTGAGCTGACCTCCGAGCTCAAATCACATGCAAATTCGGCTCCCAAACTTTGCTTAACCCTTAATCACGCGGTCACGATCCAAACCCCATGTGCGTGCGAAGCGGCCGACACGTCTATCCCTCATGTCACTGACATGTGGCCCCCACCACTCGCGTGGCCCCACACGTCAGTCTCCGCTCTCCCCCCGTGATCGCCGCGGCGCTCTCAGTCTCATCTCCTTCGCCGTTTGAACAATCGAGAGCTCGCCATTTCTTCGATCTCCTCTCCTCTTCTCCTCCACCTCCTCCTCGTGGCTTCGCATCGCGTGGAGCTCGTAGTGTGCTAGATCTAGGAGGAGGCGGCGATGAGGGCGCGGAGGGTTGTCGCGGCGGCGGCGGTGCTGCTGCTGTTCGCCGTTGTGGCGGTGGCGCGGCTCGACCTGGACGACGACGGGGACGACTCGGAGGTGCTGGACGAGCTGCTCGCGGTGGACGAGGAGGAGGAGAGAGGGGAGCTCGGTGGAGGAGGGGAGGCGGCGGCGGCGGAGGCGGTGCGGCGGGCGCAGTCGATGGTGCTGGTGCTCGACAACGACAACGCGCGGCGCGCCGTGGAGGAGAACGCGGAGGTGCTCCTGCTGGGCTACGCGCCGTGGTGCGAGCGCAGCGCGCAGCTCATGCCGCGGTTCGCCGAGGCCGCCGCGGCGCTGCGCGCCATGGGGAGCGCCGTCGCGTTCGCCAAGCTCGACGGGGAGAGGTACCCCAAGGCCGCCTCCGCCGTCGGGGTCAAGGGGTTCCCCACCGTCCTCCTCTTCGTCAACGGCACCGAGCACCAATTCACTGGCCTCCACACCAAGTGAGGATGCTGCCCGTTGTGTTTGCCATTTCGTTCTAGAAGCTGCCGTTAACGTGCTCGATGAATTGACTATGGGAATTCTGTCTTTGTTGTTGATAGGGACGCGATAGTTACTTGGGTAAGAAAGAAGACTGGTGCACCAGCTAGTAGGATTCAGTCAAAGGATTCCGCTGAGGAATTTCTGAAAAAGGATCAAACTTTTGCTGTTGGTCTTTTCAAAAATTTTGAGGTATGTTAGTTGTCTGATGGATTTGGATACAAGATATATATGCTCTACGCTAAATATAAAAGCTTGAATAATAAAGTTCATAGAGTTTGTTTCATTACATTTAGAGGTTATTCACCCATATCCATCTTTTTTGGGGGCAGGGAGCAGAATATGAAGAATTCGTGAAAGCAGCAACCTCAGAAAATGAAGTGCAATTTGTCGAAACCAATGATAGGAATGTGGCCAAAATTCTTTTTCCTGGTATTGCATCTGAAGAGCAATTCCTGGGCCTTGTGAAAAGCGAGCCAGAAAAGTTTGAGAAGTTCAGTAAGTTTCTTCTATATTACCCATTATAGAAAAAATTCTTTGGATGGTTCACTTCACCCCTTTCATTTTGGTCTTTTAGACCATAGTTTGATGAGTAACTTCCCAATGAAAAGCCTTACTGAACACTGAAAGATGATCTTTTTCTTCTCTTATATTTTGGTATTTATGTGGTACAAAGTTACACGTTGGATAAACAATGCTGTTCAATGTAGCAATCAGATTTTAGTTGGTGTATCCAAAAAGTGATATAATGGCATTTTTTTGCAGACGGGGCATTTGAAGAAAAGGAGATAATTCAATTTGTGGAGCTTAACAAGTTCCCACTTATTACTGTATTCACTGATCTCAACTCTGGTAAAGTTTATGGGAGCCCTATTAAGCTACAGGTTGGCACTCTCTGCTTTTCTCATTGTATGAACAAGTGGAACTGGATAGAAGTCATATTTCTGGAGGATCAAAGGATGCAACAAACTATGTAGTTCAAATAAGGGAAAAATAATAATCCTTGATGCTTTTTATAATGATATATAATTAGATGGTCTTGTAAATTTGTTATAGGTCTTCACCTTTGCAGAGGCTTATGATTTCGAAGATCTTGAATCTATGATCCAAGAGGTTGCCAGAGGATTCAAAACAAAGGTGTGCACTGCTGCTTTGTTCATTTCTGAGGCTCTGAGCCAATACCATGTCACCTGCATCACTGCATAGGCTGAAACTGTTTTCTCTTTCACTCTGCAGATAATGCTTATATATGTGGATACTGCTGAAGAAAAGCTTGCTAAACCATTCCTGACTCTCTATGGACTCGAACCAGAAAAACCTACTGTAAGTTTGTTTAGTATTGAATGATGGATCTCATTCTAGAGTCAAGTTTCCATTATTTTAACTTTTTCCTCCAGTAGATGAAGGAGCGCGTATGTGCTCATATATATATATATATATTATGAAATTAGGTATATCCATGAAGGTTGGATGGATAAAATAGGGATGGCATCAAATCGTTGCTTACTTAAAATTATTGTTTCATTGATAATAATAAATATTGTGCTAATTGGTCTGGGCACACTCTTGGCTATTGTTACAGTATTTTGTTTCTCTGTTATTTCACATGATAGACTTATTGCTAAAACAAAAAAAATTCACTAGGTGACAGCATTTGATACCAGCAAAGGTACCAAATATCTGATGGAGGCAGAAATTAACGCGAAGAACCTACAGGTTCTTATTTATCTTTTTCGTTTTATGCTACATACTTAAACAAGACCACTTAGTTGTATCATGAACTGGCAACAGGACTTCTGCTTAAGCCTTCTGGAGGGTACACTTCCGCCATACTTCCGATCAGAACCAGTACCAGAAGAAGTAAGGATTAATTTTGTTAATTTCGCATCTTGCTGTTCAATGTAGTATGCACCAGATCTTTCAATGCATTATGCATCAGAGCTGAATTCTTTGCACAGCGTAGCTTAGAGATAACCATATGTTAAGGGTGCAGCATCTTAAGCACGATTTACTTTCTGAAATGTTTACAGTCCACATTTTCTTTGAACAATCTTTAGAATTTTTGGAAAAAATATCCCTCAGTAATATCGGAAAGATGTGCGAATTGGAAACATAACATCTAACATTTTGATAACTGAGCTATAGTTCAAAATGCTCTATATACTGCATGTATGCTAGTAGTTTGGGTTCACTACCAGTTACTCCATGACCTGTGTTCAAGTATAAAGCAGTTACTACTTTCCATGTTATATGAGTTTATCACAAGAAAGAACACAATGACATGTTTTTTCTTGTTAAAATTTTGTAATTTGTAATTAGAATGTTTCATCCTCACTCAACATTTTGCAGAAGGGACCTATTGAAAAGGTTGTTGGCCGTACATTTGATTCTTCAGTTCTAGAAAGTCCTCAAAATGTGTTCCTTGAGGTACGTGAACTTTATTTCTGGTCTCTTTTATGGCCAGGTACCCATCATTTCTACTTATGAAAATATTGACTTTATTCTTTCCGAGATCTTACACCCTTTTTTCCCCTAAAAAGGTTCATGCACCTTGGTGTGTTGACTGTGAGGCCATAAGTAAAAACGTGGAGAAGTTGGCCAAACATTTCAATGATTTGGGCCAGACTAATCTTAAATTTGCACGCATAGATGCTTCTGTGAATGAACATCCCAAATTGCAGGTAAACCAGTCTTTGCATTACCATCATACACCGTATGCCAGTAGTACAGACATTAAATGATGCATACCATTTCAGTGATCCATTTACTCTAATGCACTATCAATTTTAGAGCAGTTTTATTATTGCAATTGCGATGTAGCCACTTCTTAAAGAAAACATAAATTCTTGTGAGATACTTTATGAATTTGGAATGAGATGATTCTATGGTTATTCTGCTACACAAGCATATAACTATTGGCAAAAAATTAATTACATACAAGAAATTGTAACCTCAAATGTTTATTAGAGAATGACATGGTTGCATGGGTATTACATTACCTTGCATGGTAGTGTCAACTGTGAAGTTCGTCTGTTCACTGCAAATGTTCCCATGCTGAACTTGGTAAAGTAAGACATGGTTTCATTATTTTCCAATGGCAATATGTTGAAGATCAGATGAGGTTTTGGTGAGCTTGATGGCACCTGTGACTGCACATTTAAACTACTTTCCGGTAGAATAGCTTAAATGGTGGATTGATATTACTTAACACTCAGTAACTACGAATCTCTTAGTTAATTTTCTTGATTACTGGAAGCATAGCATGTTCCTTTATGCAATCCACCATCACAAAGGTATACAATTTCCCTTACAATTGTCCATTCCTCCATACAGATAAACAACTACCCTACACTGTTGCTATATCCTGCCCAAGACAAAAGCAACCCGGTATGTCCTCTAAAATGGATGTGAGCTTACTGTAAGCTATTGTCACTACATGTGCTAATAACATACTTTCAAATGCAGATAAAACTTTCAAAGAAATCAAATCTGAAGGACATGGCAAAATTCGTCAAGGAGAAGCTGCAAATTGCGGATGTCGAAACAGTAGCCGCTGGTGACATTGTCAAGGATGAGCTATAGTAGATTTCTCACAGCTTTCGGGCATGCTTTGTGCAGTGAATGAAAGTAACAGCATGCTTGCATTTTGCTGGAATGCTTTCACACCATGCTTGTCTTGGGTTGCAATGTACCATTTGAGATAAGGAAATAGAATAGGAAATGATCAAACGGGTATTTAAGTTGAACTATATGACCTTCCAGATTTACTTACCGTCGCAGCATCAGCTGTTCCTTTTAAAGATGTGATTTACTATACATGTTATTAGTTGTTGATAACAAGCTACATTTGTTTGTTTGTTGAGCTGTGACTTGTAGCATTGTTCTGTAACATAAAACTACAAATTCTGTCCAATTTTGTATCCTCCTTTCTAGTCCTTTATTTTGAAAACGTTGGGCAAACAATCCTTTTGCTACTGAAAGGTCTCATGATGACAGAGGCAATTTTTTGACCAAGAAAAACATACTTTACCTAATTTTCCCAAGTATACTTAAGTGTGGAAAATGCAGGAATATCTCCCAACACGAAATAAAAAGCTATATGAACTAACTATTCGCCAAAGTAAACATGAACGAATGAAAAACAAAATTTGATTTGAATTGTAGGGCTTTACTCTCTCCGAAGAGAGAGAGCCCTTCCAGAAATTCTCAGTGGCCCGGGTGGGCCAAAGAGGGGGTTTGGAAATAGTTTTCAACCAGCAATTGACGCGCCTCGGTATAACCTCATAAGCTGCGTCATTGCCCCAAGCGCAAAGATACCTTCAAACGTTTGCCCCCCTCCCCTCTTTATACCCGCAGACCTCCCGCACATCTCCCTCGACAGCCGAGGTGGTACTAAACCAAACATGGAAACACGAACCGCCTTAACTCGCCTGGGCTTTTCTTCCCTTCTCCATGGGCCTCGCTTTCTCCGTGTGGGCTTCCACCTGCGTTTCCACCAGGCCCAAATTAGGACTAATCAAGGAATTATTACCTCCTGTAAATAATTTTAGGACAATCTCGGTGAAAAAGCGATCATTAACTGCGAGGTAAAAACGCTGACCCCACTAGCGAGTGATTTTCTCTCTCCGTAACACTCGAAGTAGTAGTGGTAGTCGAGTTAATTACGTTTTGCTTCTCTCTTTCTCGTTTCCGGCGAGGCAAAACGGGCGGGGGCGCGGCCGATCTCCGCCGCGCGGCGCGGCGGCTTGATCTCGGATGGCGCTGGAGAGGCGGCTCGCGTACGCCGCGCTCATCCCGTTCCTCCTTCTCGCGCTCCCCATCCTGCCGTCCGATTCCCCGTCCGGCGGCGGCGGCGGTGGCGCGGGTGGGGGTGGGGGAGGGGGAGAAACCCTAGACCCGCCCGCGGCGAAGTACGTGGTGCGGTTCGTCGAGTACCGGCCCGCCGACGAGCACCGGGAGTACCTGGAGGACGGCCTCCGCGGGGCCGCGCGGCCTCCCCCCGCCGCGTCGTGGCGGTGGGTGGAGCGGCGGAACCCCGCCGCCGCGTTCCCCACCGACTTCGCCGTGCTCGAGATCCGCGACGCGTGCCGCGCGGCTGTCGTCGACGCCGTCAGTGCGCTCGGCCGTGTCCGGGACGTGCACGCCGATGCGAGCTACTCCAGGGGCGTCCTGTCTGCGGATCGGCCGCGGCAGCAGGGGAAGCTGTTCACAGCCATGTCGTTCGAGGGGGAGGAAGGAGGGGGAGATAGGGAGGTCGGGTGCAGCACTGATAGTAATAATTCCTCTTCTGCTGGTTGGAGGCGGAAGCTTCTCGTGCAGGTAGACTTCTGCTACTCAGAATCTCCACGTGATCATTTTTATCCATTTTCGTGTCAATAATGATTACATGCAATTGAAACATAATGTATTAAGATCTTTACATCTATCTTCAAGAAGGAATAAACCTGTGAATTGTATTGAAGATCACCATATATATGTTTTGATGACAAATTTGTCGGAAACTGAAAAAAGAAAAAAACATTGGTATTCAGGCAAAGGTATCCATGTATTATCCTCAGGTAGTTAGTGAATATGGGTTCAAAATATGAGCCTTATCCATACAAACCAGAACTGGAAATTGATGTACTGTGTAGTGTATTAGTGTATAATCTGCTACTCTGCTTAAAATTATAGCATGACACTACACAGCGGATACAAGATGCCAAGACACTTCCATAAGAACCTGATGTGTAACATATACATCCATGTCAACAGTTCTGTCCATGTGAAGTTATCAGGTTGTATGCTAGAATGTTTTAGCATGACAAGGTAATAACATGTGTCCTTTTACAGAGATCACAAGTAACGTCTCTTTTTGGAGCTGAACGACTATGGGGGAGAGGTTTCACTGGTAGGAAAGTCAAGATGGCCATTTTTGACACTGGTATTCGAGCAGATCATCCGCACTTCCGTAATATTAAGGTATAATATGATGCTAGTAAATATCACTGCCTGTGATTATGGTCAAATACACATGCATACAAAGGAAAAAGAACATTGGTTTGGAGGGGAAAACAGAACATGCATTATATACAACTTCATATTCTTTATGGTGTTTCCTTCCTGGTCTCAGATGTTGTATTAATTATTGTCAAATTGCCATCCATACTGTAATTGGGATTCCTTAAAAGTATCACTATTGTTCCTAGTATTGCAAGGCAAGAACACAATGATAAACATGTATTATTATCCTAAATGTTGCCTCTCCTTGCCTCCTCGTTGTTTGTTATCCCCATCACACTTCTTAAGAAACTAATTTTTGTAGGAGCGCACTAATTGGACAAACGAAGACACACTAAATGATAACCTTGGACATGGAACATTTGTAGCTGGAGTTATTGCTGGTCAAGATGCAGAATGCCCTGGATTTGCACCTGACACTGAGATATATGCATTTCGAGTGTTCACAGATGCTCAGGTATGGACTTGGCTGCTATACATGAACTATGAAGCACAAAAACCAGATATTCTTTCCCTGTCAATTTAATTCATTCTTTAACCTTTGATATTGCAAATGGAATAAGTGTTTCCCAAAATTATGGAAATCCACCTGTAACTTTTAAACTTTTAGAACATAGAATTTAGAAGCATATGTGTGCTGTTCTTTCTATATATGAGCATAATACATTTTAAAATCTCTCAGATGCCTTTTATCCACGATGTGTTATCCACGGTTAAATTTTATTTACGTGTTTGAAAGCATATACACCAAACTGTTGTTAGAACACACTGCTGGTAAGATTTTGAGAATTCTATCTTGTTCTCAGTGCAGATATCCTACACATCGTGGTTCTTGGATGCATTTAATTATGCAATTGCAACTGGTATGGATGTACTGAATTTGAGTATTGGTGGACCTGATTATCTGGATCTCCCCTTTGTGGAAAAGGTAGAGCAGGAGGATAACTTTCTTCATTTCCCTCAATCATGTTCCTATTTGTACTGCATTAGAATTTGATTTTGTTTAAAACTAGAGGTCGTTACTGTAGGAATAAGTCTTGGCTGGTTGGTCTTGGTCTTGTGGTGCCTTTTTCCTGCTTTTCAGCTTTCTAGGACAGCATCTCTTTCTAGGACAGCATCTCTACTTTCAGTTTGAGATGCTCTAGGACAGTTTGTTGGGATGCTCTGCTCTAGGACAGTTTGTTGGGATGCTCTAGGACAGCACCCTCTTAGACTAGCATGGCTGCATGGCTGCTACAAGCAGCTATAAATATGTATCCAATCCTTTTTGGGAGGATATGGCTTTTGTGTTTAGTGAATGAAGAAAACCAGAAAATTGCCCCATCTCGAGTGCCATCCTCTTCTCAATGAGAGTAACCATTGAAATTCTAACATCTGGTATCAGAGCAACACTTTCCTGTAGGCTAAACATCTCTTGTTCCACCCCTTCCCAAGCTCGGTTGAGCTCTCAGCCAGCAGCAGCACCAGTTGCTCCTCCTTCCCCTTTCCCTTCCCCCTCTCCACGCAGCAGCCCCCCGCAGGTGCGCCATGTCCGACGCTCGGTCTCGGCGTTCGGACGCCTCGAGCACTCGGCGTCAGCAGGACGCCGAGCTCGCCGCAGCAGAAGAGCGCAGGCGAGCAACAGCTCAGACCGCTGCAGCAGCAGCGAGGGCGGCCAGACTGGCGGCAGCGGAGTTGGCAGCAGCCAGGGCGGAGGCGGAGGCGGAGGCGGCGAAAGATGCGGCACGTGCGGCGGAGGTAGAGGTTGAGACCTTGCGCAGCAGCATCAACGGCTCCATCGCCGGCGACATCACCGCCGACAGGGAGCTTGAGGAGCTGGCAAGAGGAAGGGCACGGGAGCGGGCAGAGCGGTGGGCAGCAGCCCACCTCCACGGCGGCGGCGGCGGTCCAAGGGACCGCGGGCCCGCCAACGGGAACCCAGATGGGCGCGGGCGTGCCGGCGGCAGCCCGGAGCCCGCACGCGGCCCTCGCAGGCAGCGCGGCTCTTTCTCCCCTGACCGGCGCCATGGTCACCACGGCGTCCAGACGGTGGTCAGGGACTTTGGTCCCGGCGGTGGGTGGCCTACCCTCACCAAAACCAACTACATCGAGTGGGCCGCAGTGATGAGGGTGAGGCTCCAGGTGCGGCAAATGTGGGAGGCAGTCCGGTACGGCGACGTCGACTACGACGAGGATCGGCGAGCACTGGATGCCCTCATCGCTGCAGTCCCGCCCGAGATGCAGTTCTCGCTTTCCCAGAAGCGGACTGCCAAGGAGGCCTGGGACGCCATCGCTGCGGCACGCATCGGCAGCGACCGCGCCCGCAAGTCCACACTGCAGGCACTCCGCAAGGAGTGGGAGAACCTGGCCTTCAAGCCAGGTGAGGATGTTGATGACTTTGCTCTCCGTCTCAACACTCTCTTGCAGAAAATGGTGCAGTACGGCGACGACACCTATGACGAGGAGAGAGCTGTCGAGAAGCTCTTCCGCTGCGTCCCTGAGAAGTACAGGCAGATCGCTCGCTCGATTGAATCTCTGCTGGACCTCTCCACGATGTCGATCGAGGAGGCGTTAGGTCGCCTCAAGGTCGTCGATGGTGATGAGCCACAGCCTCTCTCGGGGCCCATCACCATCGGCGGGAAGCTCCATCTCACTCGGGAGCAGTGGGAGGCCTCTCAGGGTGACGGGAGGAAGGGGGAGTCATCTTCCCCGACAGGCGGCCGTAAGCCGCGCAAGGCGCGGGGAGGTGTCCAGCTACGGTGGGCGCGAAGACGTGCCGAGGGTGGCGCCCGCAGAGGCGCCCAGGGCATTGCCACTGGCAACCACAAGCCGGCACGAGACGACGCCTGCCGCAACTGTGGCAAGCTTGGCCATTGGGCCAAAGACTGTCGACAGCCACGACGCGGCCAGGCCCACGTCGCACGGGTGGAGGAGGAAGAGCCGGCTCTGCTCCTAGCTCACGCAAGCATC